CTCTCACATGCGATCACTCTCTTTATCTCCTCCTTTTTCTTTCTGAAACTGACATGATTTTTTTGTTTTCTTTATCGAAACAAATATTCTTATACTGCTTCAACGAGATCCCCCTCCCCCCTCCCTCCTCCATCACTCTCCCTCTGCTCAGATGTAAATTTGTAAACCAGCAAATTTCTTTGGAAGACATTTTACATTCTAATAAGATTAATGTAATGTTTCCTGTGAGGGTCTGGATGTAAACTACAATCTGAGGAATGAAGGGAAACACTTACACAGGATAGCACATAGCCAGCTGGCGTGATACAGGGTTTATCTCACACTGCATGCTGTCTCCACATATAGTACAGTGGACATGGACAGTGAAGTGACATAATGCACATTAAGAATCAGACACACACAAAGCTTCCCTCTCCTCACTCACACACTCAAGAGACCAAGTAACACCAGTAAGTTAGTTGTTCAGATGCCAGATTTCTTTGCCTGTGTTGCACCAAAACAACTCATCCTGCACATTATCAGCTGATTCTACCTTCTTGTTAACCCCTTGTCTTAAGAGGAAGAAAGCTTCTTAAATGGCATTTTGAATGTACACTGTATGACTTTAAATTAGTAACAAGTGAACTAGATATGACAGTAAAGCAATAAGCACAGAAGTGAAGTATTAGTAGAGTTAATACAATTATAAATAAGGTATTTGTTACTTTTATTTTCATTTTAAATTCGGCAACAACCATTTTCTTTTTTATTCGCCTATGTGAGACTTAATTGACATGTCGGTGTCCTTTAACTGATTTTCTGTGTTTTAAAATTTCCTCTGGCACTTCATTGAATTGTGACAGCGTTTGCACTTAACATGGCTGCATCTAATTTAAGGTCATTTTCGTTTGTAACGCCACATGAAAACTATCGGAAATTAAAAAGGATTTCGGTTGTAATGAAAATCAAAGGGCTGTAGGCTGCAAACTCGGTTATTTGTGTTTGAGAAAATATATATTTTATCTCTCACACACGGGCCTGTCTAACAAAAAAAAGTACTGTAGCGTTTAATCCTCGAATTACACATATAAAAGAGGTGTTCGGATTATTTTGGATTATTAGTTAATAACCCATTTGTAAACCAACCTCCCTGCACGATGAGCCTCAAAATCTTTTACATTTTATAAGATCATATCTACCTGTATCTCTTTATTTTGAATTCATGTTATTAAAAAAAAAAAAAAAAAAAAAAAAACACACACCAGGCAATCATTTAAGTGCTATGCGGCCTGTAATAGAAGACAGATCGATGCACAGAGCTTGTACAGGTTGGCTCTCAGAGGATCTACACTACATTACACCGGTTGTCCATTAACTGTATTACAGGCCGGGAATGAGCTGCAACAGGAGGCGGTGCACGCTGCACTGATGCTATTACGCACCAATCAAGGGGGGCACTTTGGTTGTAAACACTTATGTAAAGTCGTCAATAAAAAAAATTAAAAAAGGTGTAAATTAACATCCAGTCATCTTAAACAAGCACATATAAGGAGGAACAAATTAATAGCCTGTATATAAATAAAAAACATTAGATTAAGTAATATGTTCCCCCTTTGATCAATGAAATATAGAATATACAATTTGTTTTATCATTTAAGGATTATTGCTTTGCTATGAGGGATAGAGATACCCAGATAAAGTCTACATATTCACTTTATATGTTTCAGTTAGGTAGGCTGGACCCAAAAACCAGAGGACCACAAAATCTTTTTTATAAAAAACCCTATTCCACTTTTCCACTTTGATACTGGGATCCATTTATGATGATTTTACACAAGGTTTTAAACTCAGAAATTGTGTGTAAACTTTCATTTTGAGGTGTATGTGAGTTCATCTGTGCCAGGATCAGTTTCTACTTGGCGCTGTCCTTTCAGCACTACCCAGAACTCCTTATCGGTCTCCCTTTACAAAAGCTATATGCTCCAAAATCACGTATACATTGAAAATGAATTTTTAAAAAATTGCCTCAATGAAAAACTTTAGTTGTCATTATATTCTTTTATCTATATAGTGTTGCTTTCACAGCCAATTTCGGCTGACAGCAGAAATGATCCATTCTACTAGATGCTTTCAAAAATTACATAGGTTTTCTTTTTACATATCTCCATTCTTCCACACTTTAATTATCTGAGAAATCCAACGTAGTTTGGATTAAGCATCAGCTCCTTAGGGGAGGAACCAATTGATTATAAAGAGACCCAGACTCTATGGAAGGAGAAAGGGCCCCCTGTTGTTTCATACCAGCTCCTCTAACTTCCCAAAGTGCAGGGGCCCAGAGGCAGGGCTGCAGCGTGGAGTGTGTGCGCCTCCAAGTAAATGGCTGCAGAGCGACTCCTCTGAAGCAGCAGCAGTGGGGTGGGTGGTGAGGAAAAACTTGTAGGACACATTAAATCAGCCTGATTAGGAGTTTAAGCGAGGGCAAGGCTCAGGTCTGGTTGAAAGGCTGCCGGGCAGCCCTTGAGTGATACTATTCACATCCTGGGAGAAAGGTCAGTGTCAGAGGAGTTCACAGGCCCCATCTCCATTATTATGCTAAAGGATCATACACATTCAGTGGCTGCAAAGGCATAAACAGCTTCTACCGACTTTCCCTCCAAAATGTTTGGATTCCTCGACTTGAGCTCTGAGGTCCGGCCTCTCTCTTCTCTCTCTTGTTGGAAATTGCTTTTGATTATTGAGCTGGAAGTCTTCCACCAATCTTTAATTGCATCTATATTCTTGTATCAAAGTCTATTTGATGTTAAACAAAATATGCAACTTTAGTAGAAGAGGAGTTTTTTTTTCATGTGCAAAACTGTCATCTCTAAATCAGAGCTAATATTTTAAAGTGGGATTTCATTTTTTCCCAAATTCGCTTCTGTAGGAGGTGAACCTGCTGTTATTTCCTCTTTATATTATCTGTTGTTTCAGTCACTAATTTTTTCTAGTAACCCGGTTTTATTAACCTCCAGTGAATAGACTTCTTTGTGCATCTTCCTGTCCATTTCTGAGTCCACTGGTCACTGGGGAATAGCAGAAAATAGCCACTTAATTAGCAACCCTTGACCTTTGGCTCTGTCTCAGACGACTCCTGACCTCAGCATCTTTCCAGCCTGTTTATTGTCCTCCTGGGGACTGTCCACATCATGACCCATGACCCCTGCTGACCTGTAAGGACTTCACCAACAGGTCCCTAACTGGCTGCTTGTCTCACAAGACACTCATCACAAAGCAACATTTAACCCAAGTAGCCGATTCAAGCAACTTCCTCTGCAGAGGGACGACAGGATACTGAAGCTATCATGATTGTTCCTGGAGCTCTCTAACATTTGTTTACAGAAACACACACATCTGTGGGGTAAAGTCAACAGAATATAAATATTCTTTTAAATGATGAAAATCACACCAGTGTAACAGTTTTTATAAAATAATTTGAACATTTGGGCTTTCGTTCCATCCAGTCTCCACAGAAGCTGATTTCACTAATTGGTTTCCATTCATCCAGAGACAGGAACTAATCACTGAAATCAGTCGCTGTAGTGTTTGGATGGATTGAAAACATGCTAAATCCTGCATGGGCCTCCATGAGTGAGATCTCTGCCACATGAGTAGGATTTTAGATGTAAAGCAGATGTGAAAACATGGTGTTTTAACATCCTGTTCACACGTAAGTGATTTATTTAATTGCATTTTTTATTGCAACTTCTCACTTTATGTGTGACTATTTCTGTCTTTTTATAGGTATTAGTCACTATATGTTTGGTGTTTATTGTATTCATTTTTGTTTTCTAGATGCTCATTTACACATAGTGGGTTTTTTTAAAGTTACTTCTCTTCATGCTCTTGTTCTTGTGCTTCTGCTGTGACACTTCCCTCCCCTGCATGGGCTCAATAAAGCTTCTAATTTCTCTCATGAGGAGGTTGCAGTACTTTACACTTTCAATATAAATGCATAAGTGAAAAAAGGTTGCTGTAAATTTTAGGAAAACCATTTCATCATTGACCAAAATAAAATAAATGTTGGCATAACTCATAACTTAAATTCACGCATTCAGCAGCCATGCACATTTTATATTTTGTATTATTATAACACTGAATAAAATGCTATATCATATGAGTAATCCCATTAAAGTAAATCCTTGTTTAAACCTCTAAAATAGAATAAATTACAATTTTAACAACCGCAGGACGTTCACCTGTCATATTTGTATGTCTCCAGGCGCTATTTAATAAAACGTCATTCCAAATAGCCTCAAGAGACGGAAATAATCCCCTGTTGACCTTGCGCGTGTCCATCTGTTGTTTGACTCCGGACACAGATCAGTCGGACACTGATTGAGGTCCGACTGACACCAGCACAGCCTGTAATCCCCAAAACCTGATTAATCGTTCAGACTGGGCCCCTGTGGGCAGAGATACATAAAGTAAACAACACATACATATGTTCTTATCCCTTTTTATATTAGAATAGAACAGCCTCTTTTTTTTATGTCATTAGTGTAGTGTGACTTTCGCAATGAGAAGAAAAAACCCGCAGAATGTGATTTGCAAATTGTGAGAAAGAAAATGAGCCGTTTACATGTTCCTATAAATAAAATATGGGGGGGAATTAACATAAACTTATTATATATTTTAATGGCGGGCAGGGTCATTTCGTCCACAGAGTTTTGTGGCTGATGAACTTTTCTTTCTCACACTGATTCAACACACGTCCCTCTGTCTGCTCCTCCTAATTAAAACTTAATGCGGGGTCACTCAAACACTTTCTCACACCATCCTCACACACATTACCGAGTGAATCTTAAAAAAAAAAATTTCCTGCAAGTTTGACTCCTAAATACTTATTTCAGACCTATTTTATTTTATTTCTAGAAGATTAAAGACAAAACGATGTGGAGGCTAAATAAATCAATGTAACAATCTATTGTTTGATCACTAAAATAAAACACCTTTTGCTCAAAAACAAGACTTAATACAGAAAATAGCATTTGTATTTTTTATTTCAAAAAGTTTGACTGACAGCAGTCAACTTAAAACAATAAACTTTATCAGTAGTGTATTATTATTCTCTTAATTATCATTTCAATTTAGACATATGAGAACAATGAATTAATACATGATTTAATTAAAACATGCATTAGATATAAAAAAGCACAATATCATAATATATTGAGTGAGAAGTATGTTTGAACATGTAATTCTGTTTTATTTACGATCTTTTTTAAATAATAGATATGGATAAACATGTCTTTTTCACTAATACATTATCTTAATAAACTTTTCATGGATAACATATATCACACATTTTGATTAATACATTTCAGATTTACAGAATATCTCTTTCCACACAGTTCTTTAACATCACACTCTTCTTGCAGTGTTTGGCTGCCAAACGTCATGCTCTGGGCTCGGATGGCAACATTTGGTTGAGTTTGGTCCACAATCTCTTCGTGCCAAAGAAGGTTCCTAGTGCAGAAGGGCTTGCAGATCCTCATCCTGAGGACAAATGATGGAGGGAAACATTAGCATGACAATCAAACTTGGTTCCATAAACTTCCACTCTTCCACTCTGCATGGACAGTAATAATATTTGGAAGAAAGAAAAAATAGATTTTTTTCACTACAATAGATACTTTCTCTACGCTATTACATTATTATAAAGTAGTTTTGTGAACAACTAGAACATAAAACAGTCAGAATAATAATTTTTAAAAAAGCTAGCGAAGTGCTGAACACAATAAAACATTGGCAATAAAAGAGATTTAAAAATCAAAAAACAACGAAAGGCCACAGGGTAAAACAAAAGGCTGAGCAAACTCCCACATTAAAGTACCGCCATATAAATGTAAGTTTATGTGTTTTAAGACAAGAAAAGATCTTTGGCTAAGGCTGATGAGTATGTTTTGACAATACTGAATTTGTTATTGTGTAATTTTAGCTTTGTACGTTAGAAATTGTAGGCAGTGTTTCAGAAAAACAAACTTCCTTTTCATGCCTTCTAAAAAAAATAGGCCCCTGTGCACTGCATGTTGTTCTTCTCTCCCATTTTCAGGCTGTATGCATGGAGGGATCTTAAGGCTTTTATCCCCACAGGGAACCAGCCCGAACTCTTTCTCTGTCAATTTTCACCCACTCCCCAATTCAGACAAGCCCTTTCTCCCACCAACCCCACAATGAAGGATTTGTCCTCGTTCTCTTTGTCCACCTCTGACATCTTTTTTTTGACTGCTCCCTCTCCTGCAGACAGCATGCAGCGTATGCAAATACACACTCTTTTATTCCTGAGACCCCTCCCCTGAATGAATGCAACCTTAAATGAGGACACACTTGCACACATTTATGGAGGGGGCATGGAAACATGCACATATTACAACCAGTGCATTTGCATGCCCTCTCTGACACGCAGTCACTCACACATCGAACACTGACCATTTTAACATGAGCAGACATTAATAGTGACCTGATGTCACAGATTATTTTATCTATATGTCTGAACTGAAAAGTTAACACAAGAACACAAGTGTGGGGCCATTCATTTACTTTTATTTTTCCAAAACAGGTTACAGTGTAATATATGCAATTTGCTCCTAAAGAAAGGTGGTCTGCTGCTGCACAAAAGCTTTTATAAAAACAACTACAGTGTGAAAACTCAGAAGTAGAATTGAACCAAAAGTCAAAGACCTTTATGTCTCAGAAACTGCTCTCTTCTCCCAAATTAATTTGTTTGTTCTATCATTTGAATACAAAGCCGATATTGTGTTTTCATTGCTCTTTACATGCTGATGTAACGGCTACATTTTTAACATAATTTAAAAAAAAACTGTTTTAGTTTATTTGCATTTGCATTTTGATTTTATTTGTGGTACTTGAGGAAGGAGACAATGCTCTTTGTTTGCAATGTAAGAAATGTATGTAAGTTATGTAAGTGTTGTTTCGCTACAGTGATGGTATATTTAGTGTTGTATAAGCCCATACAGCACACACACACACACACACACACACACACAATGGATGTGTAGGATGAAGGCTGAAGAAAAATGAGACAGAAGTGGTCCAACACAATAGTGGTGATGCACTGAGGAAGAGGTGTAGACTGGTAATGTGCGACTCTAAAGGCTGGATGAATTATAACGATGTCTGATGAACATAAAGCGTTCTCTGGCAGCTAACATTCCCAAGCTGGCCCGTGCCATCTGTGAGTATGTGTGAATGGGTTCGATTCTGTGTATGTGTGTGTGTGTGGTGGGGGGTTGACGTCTGCTGGACAGCTCTGACAGTTCGGCCTTTTCAGTCGTACATTACTGAGCCGGCCGGCCTCTTTCCCATAGCAACCCTAACAGAGGTCAAAGGCTATGTACCCCCCACCCGCCCACCTCCTTCTCTTGTACTCCAGGGTGGCCACAGACTTTCTTAACTCCCCGACTGGCCACAGACAGAGCGGCTGCACCCACAAACTTGAACTTGACTTGATTTCTGAGTGATGGAGTCAAATACCGATGTGATACAAGAATAGAGAAATAAGTCTGAGAATATACTCTCTATATATACTACATTTTTCACCCTTTACCCCAGTATCGAATTCACGTACTGTACCAATAGAATAAAAAACATGTAAAATGAGGTCACATTAAGGACTCCCCCTAATTCTCCTCACCCTAGAACCTCATCTCCTCCTGATATGATTACAAAGGACCACTGTATTAAAGGCTCAGTCACCTAATTCTCCACTACTTTCATTGGAGCATACAGGACCCCTACTCAGGGACGCTGTAGCCAACATACGTAATCTGAAAAGCCTGGGATGTAGAAACTTCTCTCCATCTTCCTCTAAGATACTTAATGTCAGGCTTTGTGCTAGATTAGTCTCGGCCAAAGTTGCATTAAAAAACCCAGATGAGCCTCGCTTGACCCACATTGGACCTCATCCAAGACTATGGGCGGCCCCTGAGCTTGGCTTTATATATCACAGTAGAGCCGTTAAAACATTAATAGTGTCCACACACAGTGAGGAGAATCCGAAGAGGTAACCCAGGAGCTATATGGTATTAACATTTTATCGCTACTATGGCTACGCTGCTTCACTCACACAGAATTGGAAGTGAGCAACCGGCTACTGTCACTTCATCATGTCACATGTTATAATTTCCTTGCACCGAAAACCCCAAATAGCGAAAGCAATACATAGTTAATAATGAATAACAGAGGAAAGAGAGAAGAAAGAAAGGAAATGTAATTTTCTGGAGGGGAAATACATTTGTCATTTTTTGAGGTGATGTACAAGAAGAAATTGAAGAATGAATATTCAAGTGACTGTATCTAATGTGCAGAGAAAGATCCAGGGATGTTAAGATCCTAAATCTTCCTGACACACTGACCTCACCGTTCAGCCGCTCCGGTTTCAGACGAGCTTGGCTGAAAATTCTCTTTGTTTCAGAGCAAATTAAGACTCTTTAACAGTTTCACCCGAGTGTTTATAAGACATTTTTAAAATCAAGATGAGCTCACCTTGATAGCGTGTTTTAATTGTGTGTTCCCTCCCTACCGCTCATTTCAGGTTATTTCAACCTGCATATTGCAATTAGTCAGAATTACAGACAGTAGTCATTAGACGACTACATGTTTTGTGTGCATGTCACTCATTTTTTACATCCTCCAAATACTAGAAAGAGTGACTGCTCTTCATGCAGGCATAATAAGGATGAATTCATGTTCCTGACAAATTTGCGTCAGTCACTGCCTCTCTTTGACCACGCCGTCTCTGTCGACTGCTGCAGCTATCATACAGTTGCAGTCCGACCTCCCTCTTACTCTTTTCAAACACACACACACTCACACGCCAGCCTTGCATGCCCAGCTCCTTGCGGCTGCAAATTGCTTTAGCATGGCACTGCTGCTCAAGCTAACACAAGCTAACTCCATCAGCAGAATACAGAGGTAACACTGGTGGCTCAAACATGGCTGCCCTTGTGCTACACCTGCCTCTGTTGCCTCCTTTACACACGCATATACATTTGTCTCCACTATCTTTAACCCTTTCTTGATAAGCCAATCTTTAGTTTTACTTTTGGCTCCTCTGTTTTCTCTAACGTAACACGGAGATCTGCAACAGAGACGTGGCATGGAGCAAGCCACAGTATCTCCAAGATTAATTTCTCACCTTCACCATTGCTTTCTCTCTTCTGTCAAATCTGCCTGAAGCAATGCGCTGTATATCACAGATGAGCAGCACAAATGCAATTATAAAGACAGCTCGGAGTCTTTTATATGAATAAAGAGAGGGAATAATCTTTTGACACGTGGGCTGCTCATGCCTTACACATCTTGTGGAGGCAAATGTACAGTATGAGGTTCATTAATAATCATTATCCGCGGGTTACATCATTCAGCTTGTTAGGCACACCCATCACCTTAGCTGAGTCATTCTCAGAGATACACCGTGCCACTGACTGTCTTGTGAGATTTTCATGATGTCTGTCTTTTTTTTTTACCACCTGAGAGCGATGCAAATATGTAGATTCTGTTTGCACAAAGGACGAATAATATCCAGCTGGTTAAGTGTGCAAAGATGAAGGAGTGCATGGCTGATTGCAGGCACTCTGTGTAAAATAAAATCAGACTCTCAGTGTTAAAAATGTGAAAACGCATCTCTGTGGTTGTTGAAATATCACTGCATTACACCTCTGATGCAGACCATGATCTGCTGTGTGACAGGGTGAAGGCCTCAGAACCTATATGCATATCATGTATGAATGCACCTCTAATGCCAGTGGGGAAAAAAACCAGCATCTCCATGGCTTTCAGACATGCAAAGGGGGCTGAATAGACTAATGAACAGTCAGGTGGTACTCCAGGGTCTGGACTACTACCCCCCATCACACACATATCAAACACACATACACTTGCACACACATTTAAACTCAGTGGCTCGCCCGACCCCGGTGATCCGCACGACAGTCTAATGTCTCAGGCATCTGCTCATGTCTAGTCTGGAGGGTCTTTCCCACCCTACCCCCCCAGCCACAGCACCAGCTCCCACAATGGTGGGAAAGCAGGCCTTTACGGAAGGCGGAGGGGGAGGCGGGTGGGTGGTGGTGGGGACTAAACAGCTATTGAGGGGGGAAAGCGAGAGAGAGCAGGGCTGAATGATAATGTGAAAACGCACGGCACTGTTCATTAACACACAAGCACTGCAGCTGCACATGTTGGCCCTGGACACACATGCTCACGTGTCTCTCTTTTCTGGTTCAGGTTGCTGCCAGAGCCACCAGGGCTAAAGAGCCGCTCTACGCCATGATCTGTGTGTGCTTTGACTTACAGGGATGGAAGTGGTAAAGATTTGTAGCTTTGATTTTTAACGGTCGCTGTCTGCCCCAGTCAGATTTTGGAAGAATGTGACATTGTCTGACATTTTTAGTCTGTGTGTGTCAAAAAAAGTTCTTCCATGTGTGCAGTGTTGTAGCAGCAGAGCTTTAGTGCATACATACAGAGAGTTGTAACCAATATCAAGTGTTTGGGACTAAATACTTAAGAAGATGTGAGATCCAACATGCAACCAGTCAAAAACCATCATTATGTATATATGTGTTTTCATGAGCAAAAAACTGTGAATATTCAGTGCTGATATTATTACAAATAACGAACCGCTTCATAAGCCAAAATATCTTTGTTCATATAGTAAATTAAATCTAAGAGTGTAATGGTTCTACTAAAAACAATAATGTGATTTTCCCAAATAGGAAAATATCACCCCCCTCCTCAACAAAATTAACCTGAGGGCTTCAGCACATTAAGATACAGTGCTAAATATCATCATGTGAATTTTGGTAACAAAGGCAGTTTTGCATGAAATAATCTACGAGGTTTGTCGGGTGGAAACACGCCGTACACACACAGCCTGGTGTGCATCAGGGAGTAAAGAAGCACCATGACAAGAGAGGATGGCAGGTTTCCTTCAACCGGTGCCAGCTCATTAATTTTGTTTGCTACCCTCCCACTCCCCCACCCCGGCACCACCAACCACCACCCTTCCTCAACCACCACCCCCCTCACATCACCCCTTAACTGCTAATTAGCAGAAGCAGAAGATAGAAGAGAAAAGGGAGAGGCCATGTGTGACTGGGGAGGAAATGGGAAACTCTTCTTCTTTCCGTTGACCTGCCCCCATCCCCCATCATGCACACACACACACAATCACACACACGCACACACCCCCACCTCCTGCCCACCATCACCACTGGTACCCAACAGAAAACCATGATGCAGCTCACCTCGTATGCCAGCCCAGCCATTTTAGGTGTCGCGGCAACATCTCCCAAGATGGCTCCTCTGAGCGCACCCATACTCCAAGGATCCGGCAGGGTCTTTGTCCGCCTCCTGGCACGGGCACAGTGTTCCCCCATTGACAGTACAGATGGCATTAGAGGCTCTTGGGTAAAAAGGGTGAGGAGTGGGGGGATGGGTGAGGTGGCAATTCCGCACTGACCGTTTTTTCTCTCCTCGTTTTCTTTTAATTATGGTTCTACCCTCTTTTCAGGAATCCCTGATCATTCGCCGTTGATTATCGGAAGCCTGTAACAAGAGCCGATGGTAAAGAGAAAACAGAGGAATAAAACATGAACACTTTGCCCTTGTAGTTATCAGTGTAGAAAAACACAGAATTTTGATTATAGGTTCTGCATTAAACAATTGATTCAGTTTAACCAGCAGCACTTTACATGTGCACTGGGTTGTGGTTAGAAAGTTATCAAAACTTTTAAATCTCTGGCCTTTAAATCCCCTTGCTGTGTACATGAGTGTGTATTTCTGCTACAATAAAAGCACAAAAAGAATAATTTGCATCATACATGCACGCAGGCTGAAACAAGGATGCCATGGACCATCCCATAAATAAAGTATGAAGCAGTTTTTATTCCCATTCATTAAGGAGGCACGCCATGCTGACACACTATACCTATAACAGGCAAAGCTCAGGAAAAAGACTTGAACCACGGCCTTTTCACATATCCAATATCTCGCTGTGAAACGAAGCAATTAGCCCGGTTTGACAGCGAGTTCTTCTGCAATGGGTAGTTAACAGAGTGAATGAAAACTCATCTCACTTTGGTGCTCTTTAGGCTTTAGTGGCATTCTCAGGGCTGAGCGTATGCACCGCACAGCGCTGAAGTACCAAGTTGAAAAGTTCAGCTCCTGTCTACAGGATGGCCCTGGCCTTCTCATTGAGGCAAGACACAATGTCTCCTAAAGGTCCCAAGATTCTCTACAGTTCTAAATACAGACGCCAAGTGTTTTTTTTAACCCTGTGTGCGTGTAGGGTGCTACCCCACTCAACTGCATTATTAGCGGTCCTGGAGACATTAGTGCCTGAACAAAGCATTGGCCTCCCTTTTCTTCCTTCTATAAACAAAGTCCCATCAAGGGTTACATCTAAAATGTGGTTTCATTTATGTAATAAACGGAAAATACTTGTCCAAAATACAAAAGTAAATTAATTAAAGAGTATGCTGTAAAATGCAGATGATAAATCAGGGGTATCCTGCTTTGGCATGGCAACACTCCAGCGTGTCCCAAAGCAGGTACCTCCTGGGATCCTTGAGAGAAATCCTGAAGGACTTGAGCAGGAAGATTCACAGCTCCACAGTGTGATAGCCCTGTTTCACAGGAGACATTTTGACATGCCACAGTAGGAAAAGCACAGGTGTAAATAATAAAACAAATGATGGCTGAATTCCATTTAGCTGCTTCAGCTGCAGCGTCCTGGTAGCGTGCATGTTGGCTCACTGTTACACTGTCATGCCTTACTGGGACACTTGAGTAGAACAGAGTCATTGTTAATGTTATTACTAACACCTGAGCTTTTCCTGCTACGACAGTCAAAATGTCTGCTGTGAAAAAGGCCTACTGTGACCCAATACTGCCTCTTTCTCTACATTTATTTGTCTGTCGATGTTTAACAGATTATCTATAGAGTACATGTAACAATACATGAACCGAGATATTTTCTGTGCCTAAACTTAACCAAACCTTTATTTGTAAAACAGCTGAATCTCAACGAATGCGCTGTTAAGATGTTACAAATAGTGTATAAACTATCTGTAGACGAACTATTCAAATAAAGTGGAACCAGTTTGGGTCTATAACGTCCCCCCTCCACCCATTAGGCAACCTTTTAAACATTCAGCACCATGTTGCAGAGGACCTGCATGGACAGCAACCCTTATAACCACCCTCCCTAAAACAGGGCCAGTTATTGACTACAGGCCCTCACTCAATTAATACAGCTCATATCCCCAAAATAAAATTAAATGACATTAAAAAAACAACAAAGAAAACAAAGATTTGGGGCCTTATTATAAAAATAAAAACATAATTACGAATGAAAAACTTCCAAAAGATTAAGGGAAAAAAAAGATCTACATATATTGTGTGAAAGGTATTTTTGTTTTTTGTATCACAGTTAAATAGATAAAAAAAATTCTGCAACTCTGCAAACTATTAAAATGCCCATAAAGCAGCCAAATGCTTATAATAAAGGGGAATAAACTCAGGTATTATGCTATAATAAAAACTGATCTATTATTTGTGTGCAAATAGTCTTTAAAAAAACCTACAAAAACCACAATGCAAAGCTTTTTTCTGACCTTTTTTTTAGGTGAAAGTCCAAATCCTTCACTCTTCTTTTTTTCTTTTTCTTTTTTTTCCAGGAATGAACACAGCGTTACGGAAGTAATTTCTACTTTCGGTTATCTAGCTTTATGACAGGTATTTAACACTCATACAGCTAGATAACCAAAGACAGAAACACACCTCCTCTCTCACACTGTCAACGCTGCAGCCCGACACGATGCTGGTGGCTGATCTAGAAGGAGGTTGAAGATGAATTAGTATAAGGCCTAGAAATATTCAGAAACACATTCCCCTAGCTCATTCAGCCTACAGTATCTATTATTCTAATTAGGCTACAGCTAAAACAATTGAGGCCACGGAGGATACCAGCAGCCCAGCACGGCAACTGCACATGGATCAGATGTGTTCAATTTGAAAGGAGCCACAAACTGAAGCATTGAGCCGACAGATATTCCTGTAATATGTGTGTGTGTGTGTGTGTGTGTTGTGTGTGTGTGTGTGTGTGTGTGTGTGTGTGTGTGGTTGGAGGCCTGTTCAACGCTGAGATCATAGATAGATAGATAATTAGGCTACCTCAAATTTCATTTTACATTGTGCTCAGGATATATTTGACGAGCCTCGTTCAAAAAATATTAAGGGCCTGTGATTTTCCTTCTGTAGGTTTACATAAGAAAATAAAAGCATAATTATACGTAAATATTGGCCCTATATGAGTCCCCTGCTGCATTGGCATGTGTTGCATTATTTCTATGAGGAATCGTACATAATATTACTAATTTACAAAGCAGAAAATGTTTATTCTTATCCACTACGGAGTGCGCAGACACTTTAAAAATCTAGTTTAAACTGGAAAAAGACCCATTTGAAAATCCGCCAGTCACATTTAACGTAAGTTGCATTAAAAAAAAAAAAAAGATATTTACACTTATACCGTTAATGTGCAGGACAGGCCTGCAGGCTGCAGAGCTCCTTTCACACAAAGCATTACAGGCTATTTGACACAACTACTGACATCTTAACACTCATAATGACTGCTGGAATTTTACAATAGGAGTCAATAAACCTGACATACTGTGATAAAATCATAAATCTTCCCGCTGCAGAACTTTAAGTCTGTATCTATACACACATGCACGCTTGTATAACACTGAGACCCTGCGTTTATCAGCCTGTTATTGTGTTTACTGGATGCTCATGAAGCGTCAGTGTGAGCAAACTATGGGGCGGCCTGAAAGCATGACCATGAACCTGAGAGAGAGAGAGAGAGAGAGAGAGAGAGAGAGAGAGAGAGAGAGACGGCTCTTTGGTGCAGCAGCAGGTTCAATGATGCTCCGAGATCAACAGCTGACTTCTTTTATATTTTTAAATCTACTAAATCTGAATTGAGCTTTTTAATAGGATTTAATTTGCTCTTGTGCTCCTCGAGGGGGGGGCAACGAACCCCTACTTTTAATGAGAGTTGCGATTGGCCTACTTCTTCTAAAACTACACTATTTCACATCACAAGCATGAGCTACTACAGAGAGCTTTCTTTTTTTTTTTTGGCCGAGGAGCGAGGTGTAATATTCTGGCACTTTAAAGAACAAGAGGATGTTGTTTTTTTTTCTGTTTGGAAGAGCTACGCTTTTCCTCTCATTTTAAATGAAACGCAAGGGCGTTTCTGAGGGTTAAATAATGTTGCTGCGCTATAAAAAAATAAATAAACTAAAAGGTGAAACTGAGCATGCATCTTCTCTGCATGAGACACATGGACATGAGGATATAACAATCAGAGCTGGTAAAAAAAAAAATACAAAAATGTAACGCTGTATTCGTGCAAAATCTTGCCCGCTTCCAGACGCGTTTCTTACCTGTTTCAGAAGCAGAGCCGGACTCTGGAGGGAAATGTCCTCAACTTCAGCTCCTAATGAATTTCTCCAGATGTTTTTTTTATTTATTTTCTCTCTCTCTCTCTCTCTCTCTCTCTCTCTCTCTCTCTCTCTCTCTCTCTCTCTGCGTTAACATCGGGCCCTTGTGGAGTGTCAGCGCTGCTGCTGCTGCTGCTGCTCTCAATGAGTCCAGTTTCATCCCCAGTCCTCCAGCTTCTGCCTCTCTCCTCCGCTCTGCGCGCTTCCTCTACTCTCTCCCGCACTGACGTCATGCCAGGAGCAGGGCGGAGTGTTGACCAATCAGAGAGCGCGCCGGCCCCCAGAGCTGGTCCGAGCTCAGACAGACGTCTCACTCCTAACAGGTTTATTTAGCTTTTCTTTTCCTTTTTATTGATTTCCTCAACTACTGCTGATATGAACATGACCAAACAATGCAACAAGGTCCATTTAGGAACTTTTCTGTGGCTTTCGATCACTTTGAGGATCTTTCGTCCGTATTAGCTTAAGTTAATTTAACTCAAAACAAATTGTTAAAACTAATTACATTGAAGTAAAACTAACTCAATTTTGTAACTTAAACAAACATTCTTGACACTGACTTAATTATGTAATTTGTATTTGTGCTGTGAAAACAAAAAACCTAGTACTTATTAATGTTTTTTAACTTTTGTTTGTTACTTTTTTTTCAATTAAAATAATTAAAATGACTACAATTCTTTAACTACAGTGAGATAAGAGACTGAAAGTTCATCCTTGACCTTTGAAACAGCAGAAGAGACACTGTTACCTCAAGGTCCATAGCTGTTTTGGGGCTTTTGATAATTTCACATGATCTTTTTTAGTGGATGGAGTAGCCTAATATTTCCTAATTTCATATATATTAATATATATTTGGCATTTATTTATTTTAAATAGACCAGAACACTAGTCAGACCAGATGCAATCTACTATTCCCAGTTGATACAGATTTCATCAGAATTTCCAAGGTCTTCAGAGATTGTCAGTCCTATAGTGAGACTCTCCACTTTATATGCCTCAGTAGCTCTTCCACATTAGTTAATGTGCTCCTTTTAAATTTCCTTAGAAAATCCTTTCCACATAAGCAAAGGGAAGAGTCCTAATGTTGCTCCACTGCTACTAAGGTACAGCTAAAACTCTACAACTATATCAATTATTTAACAGCAATAAAGAAAGTGTGGTTTAAGCCAGGAGAAAGAAATTCTGGTGACTATATAGGCAGCCAAATTCTGCTCCGTACAGGTTCAAATGACTTTTCCATCTCATCTCTGAAAGTAACTATCTCCCTGACTTATTATACAAGTATATTGTAATTTAAAATAAGTGAGCATAAGGAAATTATTTACCACACTACGGTGTTCACAGGGTTTCATAGGCTGAAAACAGGAGTGAACACTCTTCACAAATAAAACATCTTTGGGGTCTGAAGCGTTTGTATGTGGCTTGAGAGCTCAGGGGCCACGGGCAAAAGTATAGTATGAACAGTTCCCTCCAAATCGGGAAGAAGAAAATGTTTTATAAGAGCTTTTAATGTTTTAAACCACAGTGGAAACACATAAAAATACACGAAGCACATTCTCTTTACGTCTTTCCACGTTTACAAGAAATAATGTAAGACTGATATAATGAGCAGCCTTTAGTCTGCTCATTGTCTCTGAATGTTCATTTAAATTGGGCAAACAGAGCTTTCATTGATCACTTATAAAGTGTATTATTTTTTTAAAACATTCCTGTTTAGGGATAGGCTGCAAATACTACCTTAAACAAAATATTAAACTTCCTTAACTCAACCTGGCCGGTGTAAAATAGACTATTTCAACCCCAGATTTAGTTTGGAATCACATACGAATACAAATTAATTCGAGGTTGATTGTAAAATTAACATCAGTTTCTCCTGAAATACATTTTCACACCAGATGAAAAAGTTTCAAATGAATTTACCTGATTTTAAATTATGTTTTAATAATTTCTTTGTAGTTTTCAAGACAAGCACGATTTACATTTGTGTGTGTGTTTGGGGTTCTTTTGCTCATTCACTCTTTATGTGGTGCACTGAAGCACACACACAACATTACAGGCCTACCACAGATCACAAATGTCTAAATTTTCATCTCACTTTATTGATCATTTGTTTGTTCACATATAAATAATGCTTAACGCTGTATCTGAGGTGCCATCAGCATTTTCTGTTGAAACTTTTAGAGATGTAGTAGAATAATTTCAATCAAGTACTGCAGACACGATGTACTATAACATCCTAACGCTATTTAGAGTTAACAGAGGGTCTCTAACAGAGGTCTGTATGTCAGATTTAGCCCTCTGTTTTCTATCATAGATTATGACGCCCTTTTACAAACAGATTTGCCACAAAAATTTACTAAAAGCTAGATTAGAAAATGTAGGAGTGCAATCTAGAAATCTGTTTTATATGTGAGCTGTTTCAAAATGTGTTTTACTTCTTTCAATTCAATAATCGACTGACGAGGAAAAGGTGTAAAATGCACTTATCTTTTATTGACATAATAGCCAGACTGATCAATGGGCAACATGTCATGTCAACAGTCAGCAGCAAAGGCATGCACAGGGCACACAGCCATTCAAGTAGATGCAGTTTGTGGAAACTTTGGTGTTGAGGCGGCTCTCATCTATCGCCCTCCTTCTCTCTCTCGCTCACACACACACAAAGGCACAGACACATAAACACACACAAGCACAGCAGAGTGGCTCTACAGCTACAGGAGGTCATCTTCATAGTATCCCAAAGATGATGTCTGGCTGTAAGAGAAGAGAAATTATTAGTGAGCTTACGTTCAATTTTAACATACAACTGACATGTTAAATGCTGCAGTCAGTCACTCACACGCTGCAGGAGGTGCTGTCCCGTTAAAGAGTGGGTGTCTGGACTCTGGCCATCCCCTCCCACCGTCTTGCAGCGTAGGTAACCATAGAGATTAGCCACTTGGAGGGAAATACTAGCTACCACAAGTGACTGGGGAAGACAAACATGCATTTAAGTATGAGATGTATCTCTCTCTAACGCATGTGCAGAGGATGTTGTGGAACATGTGTCTCACCAGCCATTTAATCTTCAGGGAGAAGAGTGAGGTGAAGAAGAAGAACATCCATATGAGAGGACAGATGATGAGACCCAGCCAAAATATCCTCGCCTCTGCCTCCGTCCCAATGTTATTGCCCCGGGAACTCTGCACACAGACACACACACACACACATTGTGATATATGACAGAAATGCTCTTCCACACTCCAAGTGGCACGCAATAATGACAGCGACTTACTTTTTTGGCCTCAAACAACCAGAGGCTCTTTCCATCCTCGTCGATCTGATTCCACCAGCGCAGCCCCACCAACAGCCGGCCAGTCACATTCTGAAACAAATCAAAATACAGTGAAGTGAAAGAAAAGGAATTTCATTTCCTGAAGTCCACATCAGGCCAATAAAGGGGTGAAGCATAGGAAAGGAAGGGGAATGTATCAGCTGAGCTAGTGGACCTCTCACCTTGACGGACCAGAAGTCAAAAGAGAGCAGGGTGATAATCAGCACGAAACATGATGCAAAGTTCTCGCTGATCCAGTCACAGAGCAAATAGGTGACAATGGCCACCACCCGGAAGAACAGGTGGAAAAAGGAGGCGAGGGGGTGTCTGGAAACCAATGCACAGCATTAGAAATGATGAAGAGTCTACAAAAACAATGATGCACATTCAGTTCATCTTAGTTTTTAACTTTGTTCTACAGATTCCTGCACAAAAGACTTGCTCTTGTGATGTATGTAAACCATAAAGATGCAGCCATATATAGCCTATAGGAGAGAGCATGGCCCAATTAAGTTGCTGAGATTTGTTTAAGAGGTTTCATGTTATTTCAATTACAAATGATAACCTAACAGGTTTAAAATTGGCCGATATCCGTATTGATTTTATATTATTAAAACCACAAGACAAGACAAATGAATTGTGATAATAAAGAAATGTGATAACAAGCATCTCCTGCAGTGCGCACCTTATGACTGCGCTTCTCCGCGCCCTCTCCTGCTCGTCAGCAGCAAAGTCCAGCTCAACATCCTCCGTGTCATCCGCCATCGTCTGTCAAGAAGCAAAAAAACAAAGCACAGCAGGATATACTTCACGCGAGATCATCCTCGTTTATGCAACGCAGACTAACACTCAGAGGCAGACAGAAAATACACACTGGTTTCATGCTCGTAGATGTGTAAAGCAAAGACATATACCATTTGGGGGAGGGCGCTGTATAGGGCTGGAATGAGCCAGGTGTTGCAGTGAAATATGACCGACACGGACACTGCCTCCTCAGTCAATGCATCGCATCCACATCAGGAAGCTGGGGTTTTAAATTATTTTGGGGTAGATGCTTCTCCTAGATTACCGCGACGATGAGGACCCCATGGCCCTATGGCAGTCTTCCTTCGCGAGCCACACATCGATAAAGGATGTGGTGCTGATGAACCAATGCGGTGGACGTCAACATCGCGAGAAAACAAAAACAAAACAACGACCGCGGCAGGACTCGAACCTGCAATCTTCTGATCCGAAGTCAGACGCCTTATCCATTAGGCCACGCGGCCCTCCGTCAACACACCGGGACGCCGTTCTATTAAAATACTCCATATTACGATGGTTTAGCTGAATATTTGGGTTGTTTTTATGCCAGTTAAATCGTGAATAATCCACGTTGTACAAAACTGCAGCGTCTCCACCGTGTTGTTCATCCAACCCATTTTGTTCGTAGTGCTAAAAACAGCTCAGTCATCCGGGCCGCTTGGGGTCGCCAATGCTTCGTCTCGCTGCTTTGGTCGTACAACAAGGTCGGCATGCTAAGAAGCACATTTACTGTTTTAGCTTCGTTGACTGCTTTAACGTTTTAATACAGATCCGGTGAGGTGCTTTTGTTGTTTTTTTTTTACTTTAAAGCGTTTAACTGTTAAATCCAGCGACAGCTAACTGCTAGTTAGTTTGGTTGCTTATAAATTAGCAACATTTCCTTTAAGGCTGAGCACGGGTCAGATGTTAGTACATGTTACAGTTAGGTTAACAAGTTGGTGGTCTATTAATTAAATTAAATACGTTGACTATTTGTATTTTCAGTTAACGTGTCACTAGCGTGTTAAAGTTGGGTGATCAGTCTTTAAACCTTGTTTGAGTGACATATTGAAGTGTTTTTTGACTCAATAATGTGTGTCAGTACTTAAGTTAATGTAAGTAGGTACAGTTAGCCAATCTTTCCTTTTACTCGCCAAGAAATACCCTCCGAAAATCCTTTAGAAATCATTTAATTAACTCTAAGAAGATTTACACCATAAAATGAAACATTCCTGATCTGTATCTGGACTCTAGCAAGTAACTTTCATAGATATACCTGTATCTAGCTCCAGTTTGTGCCACTTATATCATATGAGTGATGTTGTGTCAATGTCTTCCAGCTCTAGTGTGAAGTCCTCATGAGGTGATGCTGCATGTGTTGCGCTATCCTCTGCAGAGGAGTCTCATCTCTCTGCAATGGACGTGTCTGCGCTCCCTGTACTCCACCAAGCCTCAGTCCCTTCAGGGCGAGGACCCCACAGACACCCGCCTGAACCCCCTGAACATTCAGATGCTGTCAAGGAATCTCCACAAGCAGATCTTTCGAGGGGTGGAACCAGAGTACAGAGAGGACGATGTGGAGCGCAGCATCAAGCACCTGCAGAAACACCAGCTGTGGGGGAAAGAAACTTCACTGTTGCCCGATGTGGAGCTGAAGCTTCCCAAGATGTATGGCAAAAATATTGATGAGCACTTTCGTATCTTGGCCCAGAATCAGAGTCTACCTTACCTTGAGGCTGCTTCCAAGCTGCATATGGCTGAGCTTCCTCCCATGCCACAGGAATGGAGCTGGAGTATTGGCTGGACACGCTATGGCCCCGATGGGGAGAGTCAGAAGGTTGATTTCCCGGATGAGTCTGTGCTGGTGTTTGATGTGGAGGTGTGCATGACGGAGGGACAGTGTCCCACACTGGCTGTTGCTGTGTCTCCCACTAACTGGTGAGGAACAAGGAAGAATTGTAAAGTTTGTGTAAAGGGGAGAAATGCACAGACTGGCATTAAGTTGTTTATTGGAATCATTGAAGATGATGATTTTGGGATGTGGATGTAAATGGGCAACAGTTAGATTTAAATTTTCCTAATGTATATATTCCTGATAGGTACTCCTGGTGCAGTAAGCGTCTGATTGAAGAGCGCTACACCTGGTCAAACCAGCTGACCCTAGCTGACCTCATCCCACTGGAGACCAGTATCAACTCTACCCGCCCGCCAGGCGGCCAGTGGAAGAAGAGTCTCATTGTGGGTCATAATGTCAGTTTTGATCGCTCTTACATTAAGGAGCAATACTTACTGAAGGTCAGTATTCAGACGGTGGTGTGTTTTGTATTTGGCTCTTAATCAACTCCCACACAGTTTTTTTTGGATCTTTAATGTATGATTTTATGATCCTTGTTGTATGTGTTCAGTATTCTGTTACTGCCTCTGTATGACATACAAGATTATGTACAGCAAAGTACAAAAACATGTTTTTTCTTTCCTAAAGGGTTCTAAGGTACGCTTCATGGACACTATGAGCCTTCACATGGCCATTTCTGGGTTGACTGGGTTCCAGCGGACACTGTGGATGGCCAGTAAGACGGGGAAAAGGAGGGGTCTACAGGAGGTCAAAGAACACATGAAGAAAACTGGACAGAAAAAAGAGGGCCCCATGGTTTGTGTAATTTATCCACCATACGTATTTCAGCTACAGCATGCAGTATTACTGGTGATGTTGCATCTTTTCCTATGTTGAAAGTGTCATGATCTTTTGGTTAGGGTCAGTTGCTCTGCTTTTGTCCAACAGAATGATCTTTTGTGCACAGATTGGCTCCTGGGACTGGGTGAATATTAGCAGCATTAATAACCTGGCTGATGTCCATGCTCTGTATGTGGGAGGGCCACCACTGAAGAAAGAATCTAGAGATATCTTTGTGAAGGGCAGTATGATGGACGTCAGGAACAACTTCCAGGTCAGAGATTCACGATAAATCCTCACTCAGATTGTCAGTAATGATAGGCCAAATGACTTTCATTCATCATGAAGTACAGACTAATAATTTGTGCTTTGCTGACCTCTACAGGAGTTAATGCAGTACTGCGCTATGGATGTTCAGGCCACACATCAAGTCTTCACAGAACAGCTACCCCTTTTCTTGGAGAGGTCAGTAAATCCCAAACCCACACATTTTTCCCCCCCTTATAATTCTTGTAAGTATTGATTTGTTTTGTCAAGAATATGCTGTTGCTTTGTTCACCATTCTGCAAAAACCACACCGTGTGTTTTATCTTTCAAAAGGTGTCCTCATCCAGTGACGTTTGCTGGCATGCTGGAGATGGGCGTGAGCTACCTTCCTGTCAATAAAAACTGGGGGCGTTACCTGGAAGACTCTCAGGACATTTACGAAGAGCTCCAGAGAGAGATGAAGAAGTCTCTGATGACTCTTGCTGACGATGCCTGCCAGCTGCTGCAGGACGACAGGTGAGAAGAGCCCCTGTTCATCACCATGTTTCTGGCTGTGGAACATTATTTAAATTTAAAGTGTGTGATAAGGTAAAAAAGAATATAGATTTATGCATAATCTCAACTTCCATAACTCCAAGGGATAGATACTTTGTATAAAAACATCCACATTTTATAGGTTTTATGTTTGTTTTAAGATACAAAGAAGACCCCTGGCTTTGGGATTTTGAGTGGGATGTGCAGGAGTTCAAGCTGAAGAAAGTACCAACCAGCAAACAGAAGAATTCCAAAAAAGCAGCTGAAACTGAAGTTGCTACTCCTATTCCAGACTACGAGCAAGGTATTAGCTCAGCTGTTATTAGTTGATCTATTAGAACAGTGCAAAATGGTGTTTAAAATACCAGAAGAGATGATTGAGTTGAGTTGTTGTGATGCTAGACCCAGGACCACCCTCTGAGGAGGAGATGGCAAGCCCTTGTCCCAGCAGGCTGGCTCTGGAGAAGCTGAAAGAAACAGTGGATCGGCTTCCTAAAAGAAGGCAACATCTTCCTGGACATCCAGGGTAAGACCACTCCCAAGCACCACAGAGTCATCCAACATTTAGTATCTTTCAGTTGCCACTTCCATTTGCCACTGACAGCGTAGGTAAGTCCTTCTCCCTGCTTACTGTTTCTTTCAGGTGGTATCGTAAGCTCTGTGAGAAGATGGCTGCGGAGGACAGCTGGTCACCTGGAGCCAGCCTCATCAGTCTACAGATGAGAGTGACTCCTAAGCTGATGGGTCTGACATGGGATGGTTTCCCCCTGCATTATACAGAGAAACACGGGTGGGGCTACTTGGTACCTGGACGTAGGGATAACCTGGTACCTCAGGAGGAAAACACAGGGCCTGTGTGCCCACACAGGTATTTAATACACTGCGCTTAGAGTTTCGCAGCATAGGATGCGGGTGCATTAACTAAGACATCGTTTTGTCCCACAGAGCTATTGAGAGAGTTTACAAAGAGTATTGTGAGCAGAACAGCAAAGAAAAGCCTGAATATCTGGACAGCGACCTTTCAGAAGACCTCTTGTGGACAGACAGCACAGTGTGGACAAAGGTACATCCACTCGTAATGTAATTTACACCATAAATGTGTTGTTTAGAATCATATTCAAGAGACGTGTCTTAAAACTAACTAGATCGGGCCACAATGAATTAACGTAGCTAATGTGGTAATGTGTGCATGTGTGTATAGAAATAGAATATGTATTATGACAGAGGTGTGTTTCTCAACCTCATTTCAAGGTGGAAGAGTTGGGTTCCTTTGAAAGTCTGACAGAGGAAAATGGAGTCAGAATGATAAAAAATGGCGTGAAGAAAAAAGTGGTAAGTGAAAAGGTTGTTTTTTTTTTATTTCATATCTGTATCATATATACATTTCTTCCTTTCCTTTTGGCACTATCAGGTCTAACGTGCTGTGTGTTGTGGTTCTTCTTTCACTGTGCTGAACTTGAACATTTGTTACTGTGATTAGCTGTGTGACATAATTTGCATTGTGTATCAACAACAGTCCAACGATCCACATTACATCCCAGAAGAGGCGCAGTGCTATTATTACCATGGAAACGGCCCCTACAATGATGTAGATATCCCAGGATGCTGGTTTTTCAAATTGCCCCATAAGGTGAAGTTTCACTGTTTAACTGTAGTGTCCTGAATAACGAGCATTGGCACATTGTCACTACAGTGAGTTTCTTTCATCGTCTCACTGAATGTATGTGTTTCAGGATGGTAATCACAACAATGTTGGCAGTCCCTTTTCAAAAGACTTCCTGGCTAAGATGGAGGATGGTACTCTCAGGGCAGGACGGGGTGGAACCAACGCTACAAGAGCGCTGGAGATCAACAAAATGATGTCCTTCTGGAGGAATGCCCATAAGCGTATAAGGTATCCGTCAGTTTCCACCATAAAGTTATTCATCTTTTTGGATGAGCTCATCAGTCATAAAGATAATGAATATGTGATTTGTACTATGGCTCCTCATAGCTCTCAGATGGTGCTGTGGCTGCGAAAGGGAGAACTTCCTCATATTGTCATCAGGTTCGTCTGCTATATCAATAACTATCCTGTATTTATTGATCAAACATGGAACGGGCAGACGTCATTATTGTATATAACAACCTTTCTGTCTCCCAAAGACACAAAGCATTCAATGATGAGGGTCAGTATGGGGCCATAATACCTCAGGTCGTCACAGCTGGAACGGTAACACGTAGGGCTGTGGAGCCAACGTGGCTGACTGCTAGTAATGCCCGGGTAAGAGTCTGAGCTGACAAACTGCACATAGCAAGTCTGAGAGTATTGACTCAGCTGCCAGTTTGGACTCAATTGCATTTGCCTATAAAGAAATCTTATTCGTATGGACTGTTTTTTTGGTATGCACAGCGGGACCGGGTAGGCAGTGAGCTGAAGGCAATGGTGCAGGTACCACCTGGATATCACCTTGTGGGAGCAGACGTAGACTCTCAAGAGTTGTGGATCGCTGCTGTACTCGGAGATGCTCACTTTGCTGGCATGCACGGTGAGATTTGTCCCTTTGGAAATCTTGTACAGTCCTGTGTATGGTATTAGCAACACTATGTAATAAAGTTATAGAAGGCAATACTTTATCAGTCATGGTTTGAACAAACAGCATCTGATGGCAACTGTGTTCATCTCGTGTTGCTGCTGGGTTTAGGTTGTACAGCGTTTGGCTGGATGACTCTTCAGGGAAAGAAGAGTCAGGGCACTGACCTGCACAGCCGCACTGCTGACACTGTGGGCATCAGCCGAGAGCACGCCAAGGTGTTCAACTATGGACGCATTTATGGTGCTGGACAACCCTTTGCTGAGAGACTGCTAATGCAGTTCAACCACCGCCTCAGTCAGACTGAAGCTTCTAATAAGGCCAAGCAGATGTACGCCTTAACAAAGGGCATACGCAGGTACACTCAACAAGTTCAATAGTTGTGTGTTAAAGTCAAGATTTTAGTTGTTTGTGCAAAGTTTACAAAGCTGAGAGCTACTGTGCTTCATGTTTGTTTTGTCAGATACCATCTGACAGAGGAAGGCAAGTGGCTGCTCAGTGAACTGAATGTAGAGGTGGAGACGGCGGAGGATGGAAGTGTCACCCTGAAGGAGCTGCGGAGGATCTCTAGACTGGTTTCACAGAGGTGAGGGAGAAACATCACACAAACATCCACAACCACTTATCACAAGCTTTTTAGTAAAACAAGATATTCTCCTACATCCTCTGAGTTGCACTGTTCCTTCCTTTCCTTCTGTCTCTCCTTATACCCCTCAGCACTAAGCGGAAGAGGTGGAGCATAGTCGACAAACGTCTGTGGGCTGGAGGTACAGAGTCGGACATGTTCAACAAGCTGGAGAGCATTGCTCATTCAGCCGAGACAGCTACTCCTGTTCTAGGCTGCAGGATTAGCAGAGCACTGGAGCCCAAGGCAGTCAAGGATGAGGTAAGGTTTCATTAGTGTAGGGTAGTCCTGAAATCTGATGAAGAAATGGCTCAACCACAAAATGCTGCCGTCTTTTCTTTTGTTAGTTTATCACGAGCAGAGTGAACTGGGTGGTCCAGAGCTCTGCAGTGGACTACCTACATCTGATTTTGGTTGCCATGAAGTGGCTCTGTGAGGAGCATGACATCGACGGCCGTTTCTGCATCAGCATCCACGACGAGGTGCGGTACCTCGTCTGCAGCAAAGACCGTTACCGAGCATCGCTGGCACTTCAGATCACAAACCTGCTTACGAGGTGTGCTCACAGCTTAGTATTTATTCTTCCCCCGTCAAAATACCCACAATACAACAGGCCATAAACCTGAGCGCTTTTCTGATTGCGTGCTTCTGTCTCCTGCAGGAGTATGTTCTCTTATGCATTGGGCATGCAGGACCTTCCCCAGTCAGTAGCTTTCTTCAGTTCAGTTGACATTGACCAGTGTCTGCGGAAGGAGGTCAACATGGACTGCGTGACCCCCTCCAACCCCACAGGTCTGGAACGAAGATATGGCCTACCACCTGGTAAGCTCTGCACGCCATCACTAGTTTTTTTCCTTTAGTACAGGGCACAATATATGTGTTGCACATACGTTGTGTATGTAAATGAAGTGCATAAAATAACAGGAGGGAAATTAAGGATCTTCAAAGCCCTACAGGTATCAAAGTACATGAATTACTTAAAAAGAAATTCATGTGGACAAATTATTACTGTGGGGGTACCTAAAATACATGACAAGAAGCCATTTTACATTGACATAGATATTTCAGTTTATTTGCACATTACACTGCATTACACATTCTTGTATGGCCTGGCCAGAAAAGAGGAAAAAGGAGTACTAAGATTATACAATATAGTTATTAATTTGAGAGAGTGATTACAAATGTGTGTGCACAAACTATTTACATTTTTTTTAGCCAGGTTTTATAAAATTAAATGCAAGATACAGTTTAAAAAAACTAGTGTAAATAAGCAGTAAGAAAAAAATATTTATTTGAAACGAAAACAACACCTGACAAAGCTAGGTTTTTAGGTAAATCTCTTCAGGATGCATTTATGTGTACTGGAAACCATTGATCCACCTCTTTAGTGTAGCCAAGGACTGATAAAGCAGGGTCATCTTAAGTACTACTATATGTTTAACTAAACGTATTTAAAATAAGAACAGTGGTGTTAATTTGAACAACAGAGCAGCTTATTCATCATAAAGTCATCCTGATGAATATTTCTTTTGAATATGTGAACTATATGAACACAACCAGATTATTAAACAATGTGTGCAAACTTTCCACAGGCGAGGCCTTGGACATCTACCAAATCCTCGACATCACTAAAGGCTCTCTGAACAAAGGAAAATAGCACTTTGTGGGCCAAGATGACAACTGTCAAGAGGCCATTTGGCAGCTTGTCAAGTTCAGATCAGTGAGGAAGTCTTCATTCACTGCTTCCTCTTCTTCTGTTTGGGTTCTTGGGTTTCCTCTGCTTTCTGCGAGTCTGTGGCCTGAAAGGAAGAAGAAACAACCACTGAGATCTCACCCAGCAGAAGTCTACTGAATTAGAGACTGTTCAAGGGAATTAAAACACTTCAATGCAGAAAATTCAAAACGTCACACATGGGAAAACCTTTCAGCAGTTAGCTCAATCTGCACAGTAAAAAAAACTATAACAGCTTTGAGTCACGTAATCAAGTAAAGAGGGAGAAAGATAAAAACTGCACTGTGAAGACAGGAAAGACAGTGAGGACTTTTGGAGATGCCATTTACAGTATGAGATTGCACTTACCTCCTGAGTTTCATCGTGCTCCTGCAGGGCTGCGTCCAGAGTAGCAGTGTTGATGCGGAAATCTCTTGAGGTGCTCAACTTCATGTACTGCATCAGATTTACCTGGACAAACACAGATGTTGGTGAAGCACTGTATGTGACCGGCCCAACAGCACTGACAGAGTTCTGCTCTTTATGTATTTAGAGAATCACATTTTGTCCACTAACTCGAGCCATCCAGTGCACACATACCTTTGATTTCTTTGAGAGAGTGATGAGGTATTTCTCATACTGCTCGATGCTGAAGATTAAGTTAGGGATGGCCTTTGTTTCACGCAGAAGTTTTGTCTACCAAGAAGAAAAATCTTGATGAACAGATGGATTCTTTCAAAACCGTTCCAGCAAGTTTTTAGTTGTACAGTGTACCTATACATTTTTATTGAAGATAAACAGAAAATGGAAATTCTTGTTACAAATCAATTACATAATTAGGAGATAAATGTCCTTACAGAGGCAGCAGTGTTCACTTCATTCCTTTTCTTTTTCTTCTTGTCATCTGCACCTCCAACGCTGAATTCTCCACTCTAATAGAGAAAACACAAACATTTTCAAAACACTCCCTCCTGAAGCAGAAAAGCTCAAACAGCACAGTCATAATTGGAGATTATAATTTGTTTGAAAACACTGAAAAGTGTTGGCAGGGACTAGTTTATAAAACTGGAGTGTTGGAGGTTGTACCTGTGCATATGTGATGAAAGAGTAGCACTGTGGTGTTAGGTGGGAGCCGGACAGTTTGACCTGCACAGAAAACACTAGATTAGCGTTGACCTCATAAGTACTAGAAGATACAAACATAGAAACAATACATTAGACTCACCAGCTTCTCAAAGCGTGCTGGCAGTGCCCCGTGCTGGCTGGAACACACCTGGATGTACTAAAAGTGACACATTGAAAAGAAATCATCACACGAGATCAACTTCACAAACTCTGCCTTCATACTGCGATCATAGAGTGGACAAATACGCACATATTTGACCAGAGTAGTGAGGATGCTGTATGTGCGAGTCAGCTCTCTGAGCAGTGTTATGGTACAAGTGCCAGGCAGCAGGGCCGTCTGGACCAGCTCATTTAATGCTGTCAAAAGAGTCCCAAGCTGCAGTGTCACAGCTTTTTCAATTGGATCCTGCTGGCCTGCAGTCTGGGTGGCCTCACCTTACAGGAACATAACATCACAGAAGTTTTAGTACCGTCCCCTGACAGAGATGCATCTCCTCCCTTGTCCCCTCTCAACTGTTACCATTAATCCAATGGGGCATCGGTATGAAAATGGTTCTTACCGGAGCCCGATTTGTCAGCGACTGTCTGGCTTTTCTTTCTGGCAATCAGCCAGTCCACTTCATCAAGCACTCTGTCAACCTGAGACAGGACCAGCAGCTGTGGCAAGAGATTAAAAATGATGACGAAGATGGTGAGCACACTGCGCAAAATGGGGTGTCACAGCAAATCAGAAGCTTCCAGTTGAAAAACCAACTATAAAAAAAACTAACAACCAACACTCACTGCTGCTGTGGTCGAGGTCTTCGTGTTGACAGTGGCAAAGTGGGACTGTTTTTCTACGTCCACGTCCTGATCATACAGAAAGAAAACGAAGATTAAAAAAACAAGTGGCATAATTAGTACTTAGAAAGGAAGGCCAAATGATTACTGTTGGAATAAATCAGTCATGTGTTGATCAGCTGGCATTGTAATTGGATAAATAAATGTTCTAACATGGTCAGTAGCAACTAATCTTTAATACAGCGAGAATTTGGGATGACATGAGACAATGATCAAAAGTTGGATTTCAACTATGGACAAAAGAGTTTTCAATGCAGGTTCATAATTTTGTAATGTCAAAAAACAAAAAATGAGATATACAATAACACAAACTGTAAATAGCTGTGTGTCCCAAATGCCATAATAAACTCTCTATAAAGTTCTTGTATCAACTGCTACCACCTACTACCTTGCAATTGTTTTTAAGGTGTAATGCTCGGAACAGGGTGAAGTATAATTGTGTGTGTACCTGATCGATATCTCCCAGCTGGCTGTGGATGTCTTGGCAGAGTTCTAGCAACAGGCTTACAGGACTCTTATAGAGAACATGCAAGTTGAAGAGAAGAGTGAGAAGACCCTTGGAGAAGGCCGAATCCTCTAAAAGAGAGAAACACACAGACCTCAGAACACACCTTACTATATACCTAGCATAGACACAAAGGTTAAGTAAAGTTCCACTCACCAAAACTGGTCTCCTTGCAGATTTTCACAGTCCACGTGATCATCTGATCAAACTGCAGATGTAGATGTGTTAGTGGAACAATTGCTACAGAATTTGTCTACCAAAGTGCACTTAAGAGAACACCCACCTGTTGGGAGGAGGGCTTTAACTGGCGTGAGAGCACACTCAAGATGCTGACCAGCAGCTGAGCCTCTTTGCTATTAAATTCTTCATCACCGCCACTTAACTGTGTGAACAGCGCTCTCTGTTGACGGTCAAAAGAAAATTGGCTTTTAATATAGACGCGCGTATTGGGGTGGAACAGTTTAAAAACACAGCTGTCTGAAAAAGTCAAGTAGATTTGTATCTGATATATTAAAAGGTTCCTGGTACAGATTTTTGTGAAATTATGTTTTAGCCTATGTTTTATCCTTTACAATAAGTAGAGAACAACCAAATCCAAATACATTCTGTATAGATGCACCTGAAACTGTCGGATGTAAAAGAAGTTCATCTCTGTAACATCGCCATCATCTGGCTCGGCATCATCGTCCAAGATATCTGTGACAAACACAAAATGTGATGAATTCCTGTGTACCGTTCAGGTGTAAAAAACTAAAAACTTTTGCAGTTTGAGAAGTACGCATGTGTTACCCATGGTGGAGAGGAGCTGAGCCATCTTATCTGGATAGCGCTGCTGGCAGGCTGTGAATATCCTGAGCAGACCTTCCAGACACAGGTGGGACAGGCTGGAGCGCTTCTCCTTCTTTCCCGCGTCCTCCACGACACTGGGGATGTTGGTGTAACGCCACATCAGCACACTGGGATGACAATTACACAAAGACAGATCTCTCATTAGTCACAGGAAACGAAACCAGCAACCCTAACTAAATGCTGTTATTTAGGCCAAGGAACTCCAACCTTGTCATGTCACAGAGGAAGCGGAAGGTTCTGTCTGTGTTATGTCCATCTGGGCCGTCTGTGTGTCCAGTTTCCTCCAGCTGCTGGATCTTCTGTACAGCCACATTTACTGCGTAACGCACAAATTCTCCACTTGAGCGAAGCACTGACAGAGCCTCCTGTCTGCTCTGAGTACTGTCTCTAAAAGAGAAAAAAAAAATACATGTATTTGATATGTATGTATGATATGTAATATATTGTGTATTATGATCTAACTTCATAAAATGTGATCTTTATATTCAGATACAACCAGTAAGTGTAACAGTTATCCATGTAAACATAGCCACTGAAAGCCTTTACCTGAAGAGCACAGAGAGGAGCGTTGAAATGAAGCCCAAGGAGAGTAAACTGCGGGGGGTTTTGTTTGAGGGCACTCGACCCTTTCCGGATTTCTCCTTCAGGATCTCAGACAGCTTATGATAGCGGTTGAACAGCTCCATGAGATCCTCGAAGCAGCTTTTACTGCCACACAAGAGTCAAGTACGCAAATAAAACAAATCACCACTTTAACAACATCTGTGCAACATGACGTCCTGATCATACAAAGAGAGGTGGTTGTTACCTGTAGTTGGCTGTGATGAAGTTGTACTCCATTAGGACCTCATACACTCCCATCACCAGCACAGCATAGATATTATTCTTCACCCCAACACTGGATCCCATAGAAAACTCAGCTGACTTGTCCTGATGAACACACAGACAGTATATACATATATATATATATATGGCTTAAGATGATGCTTCCAGTGCCACAACATTAGTAACTGGCAAGGGTAGGAGCAAGCATTGACACTGGCAATACAGTGATATACAATTCAAGATGAATTACTTAATATTCATGAATTAATTCTTATGAATATATGATTGTTTGCTTCTTGCATGCACATCTCATGAGGATTCCCATATTTTCTTCAACCAGACTGCAGCTTACTACTTCCACCACTGAAACACCGACTCAGTTAGGTCAGTTTAAGACTGAGTTCCTGTATTGAATTCATACCAGTTCAAAGTCCTCCAGTTCACTCTTGATCATGCGTCTTGTCATACTCTCTAGGATTGTCTGTAGTTCAGACTGGTATCCTTCCTCCTCCTCCTCCTCCTCATCGTCATCGCTGTCGCCCATGTTGGGGTTGGAGGATCGGCGCATATTCTGCAGCCACAGCAGGCAATGTACAGTACAGCTCACCAGATGTGCCTGAAAGGGAACAAACACTATTTAAAGCACACATGAACAAAACAAAAACACAGTTTAGAAAAATCCTACAATGCAAACAAAGAGTACCAGAGGCTCCTGGAGGTAGACTTGGTCTCCGAGAGCTGTGATGCACGGTTCCAGTTTCACCGGCGGTAGGAGGTCTTGCTCAGGCTCGTAGTACCGCTTCATCTAGGGATACAAAGACATGGTATACGGCTCTCCATCTTATAGACAAAATGACAAGCAGACCATTATACCTAACACATTTTGTGCTTAACACACATACCTGTGAGGAAAGGGTCTGCATGATGGAGCTTGCAAGTTGAGAGTTGCGACGGAGAACATCATAGAAACCCTGAAATAGTCAAGAATTTGTTTTCTCAGTATAACAACATGTCTTACCAACTTTTCAGCTTTCTAAATGTTAATCACAAAAGAATTACGCCACCAATGTTGAAGGTTTCTTTTAGAATTGTGTCTGGAGTTGAAAGATATGTATACAAGATGCTTAAGGTGGAGTAAAAGAAGTTGTTCCTAAACTTAGCAAGACTACTGATCATGGTTAGTAATTGTAAAAATCAACTAATGTACATGGCGTAGAAAAGAGACCTCTAACCTCATAGAGCATGAGGCGCACATCAGCCTGCTGGCCGAGACAGCGACGCAGGCTGCTGAGAATCTCCAGACAGAACGCTTCATTGGCAGCAGAGTTGTAACGAGAATGAACGTCCACTTGGATCTAATCAGGGGTTCAAGGAGACAAGTTACTATACGAGAGACCATGTTTAAGATTGTACATGTTTCGACATCTACAGATGTTGTCCAGCACCCCTGCTACACATGCATCTATGGAAAGACTGCATAGAGTCTAACTGGAACTGTACCTGGCTCGAGGAGACTGCCTGGCTACACTGGCTCGACGCCAAGCTGCCCAACACTTTGAAGTTCTTCAGCAGCAACAAGAAGCCAGTTACTGCAGACTTCCTGCCATCCAGTTGGCTAGTAGAGAGTCATAAAGGGGGGAGAACTGTGTTTTTAATTACTTTTGAGCTACCAATTGTGTTAACCAAAGCATGATTCATTATCTGTCCTGATAAAGAGCAAAGTAGTACACACCTGGAAAACATGGCTTTGCGGAGAACTAGAATCAAAGCATCTTTCAAGGACATGCTGACTTTGAGCAGGGGCTGGAGATGAAACAGAGAAAAACAATTAAACAACCAAAACCTCTACAATGTGTGTGTGTGTGTGTGTGTGTGTGTGTGTGTGTGTGTGTGTGTGTGTGTGTACCTGGACAGCTTTTAGTAGACCCTGAACAGTGGCCAAGGGCAGGTATGACAGGTGGTCAAATGTCTCTGTCACCTTGGAGGATGACTCCAGAAGGATCATGGGAGCAGAGACCACAATGTCAGAGAAAAGGTCTGAAGAAACCAAAATAAACCCCAAAAAAAGAAAAACAAAATCAAAATGTAGTCTCTAACTAGACCGATTACACATTGGTGTACATCTGAAAGCTGGGACTAATATCTAAAGTTTGCATTACCTAAGTAATGATTGACAGGTGAGGCTGTCTTTGTGACCAGTCGATTCAACACCTGCTCCAGTATCTCTCCCCTGATAGGCTCGTGGACCTGTCCCAGAAAAAACACACACCATTTCATCATTGAATTAGTCATTTACATTATGATAAATCTATCAAATAAAAAAATGTAAAATGTTACCTTAAAGCCCTGCAGGAGGACCTGTCCTCCCAGCTTACACGCCTGCTGAGTGGGGGTCCGGGCTATGGTAGCAGACCCTTCTGTGGTCTTCCCAAACGGTCCATTTTTGGGTCCAAATGTATCCATAAGGAAGAAGCCCAGCTGCACCAGCCCCTGGGTCACATGATCCCAACCAAACACACTGCACAGGTGGAAGAGTAGAATTCATGTGAAGAAGATTAACTACAAACATTGTGTTCATGATAGATGAGAATGTTGTGCATCTTCACTTTATACATCTCACAGGTTTATTTTAGCCAGAATATTATAATGTTTTGATGCTCTGACCTGTTCCTGACTGTGTCCAGTATCATCTGAGCCACGCTGCAGTGTCCGGGCAGGAGGTCCTGCAGGAACTTTGATCCCTGCTGCAGCTGCTCATCTTTAAAGCTCTTGATGATCGCCACCTTCAAAAGGTCAAACACCTACCCAAACGAGAACAGAGAACAAATAGGTGAGCAGAAATAATAAAATAAGGATCAAATAAGTGTAGGGAAAATAGTACAGGTTTCTGACCTGCTCCTCATAACGCTGGATGCGTGCCACTGAGAGCAACAGGGCAACACTGAACGGGCAGAGGTCTCCATAGGATATCTGCAGAAATGCAATTCAAGGTTTATGGTACATTTTATATTACAAAAGTAAACAAAAATAACTTAATAACAGGTAGTTATAAATTACCTTAAAGCTTTTAAGGAATTCTCTGCCGAGTTCATGGTCAAGTCGTATAGCAAAGACTATGTGGAGGATAGCAGTGCCCTCCACATGCCTCAGCTGGTCCTGTGGAATTGACTGAACCTCCAGATCCAGGCTCCTGAGGAAAAAACAGCAAAAAAAAAAAAACAATCAGTGAATGCAGTAAGATTGAGAGTGAATACAGTTTATGCCACTTGTGGTGTATGAGACACTCACTCTCCATGTTTTTGTTCTTCCTCCTGGCAAACATCTTGCTCTTTAAAATAACTGATGATTCCATCCAGGACCTGTTTCTTACAACCCTAACAAACACAGTGTAGGGCAGGTATTTAGATCATTAAAACAAAGAGGAAGACTTGATTACCTGCTGCTAAAAATCAAAATATTGTCACAAACACACCTTTGCAGACAAAAGCAGCAGCTGATAAACAAGCGGTGGGATCTCCTGCAGATCCAGTTTGGTGAACATCCGCAGTACTTTCTCCACCACAAACCGCAGCTCCTCTGGTGACAAGGGCACATCCCTAAAATGAGGGAAGCACAAGAAGAAAAATAGTAACAGATAAAACACTGTGAAAGCAATACAGAAAAGAAAAAGACAAGGTACTCTGAATAGTATCTGAGAATGTGATGGTCTAATAGTAAAAGGTGTTACCTGAACATGGTCGTCAGGTGGATAACACACTGAGGGTCCCATCTGCATGAAAAAAAAGCAACAGATAAATATGCTGTTAAGGATCCATATCTAAGGGTTTAGGCTTAAATATTTAATCTCAATGAGGGGAGCAGACCTGCCGTTGTTATCATATATGCTTGTGTCAAACACACCTGCTTGAACAGAGGCTGTTGATCAGCTGTTTCTTGTATTCCTCACCACTGAGTTCGCCTAAAGTTATGATAAAATAACATCTTTTAACATCTGCACACTGTAGATAAAACAACTAAGATAGATGTCATTGTGTCTGATATAATAAGAGAGTTACCAATGATCGTAATTTGCACTTACCTTTGCCATAAGACAAGGCTTCACAGGCTGAAAGGGCAGTAAGCACAGTAGGAAATAGCTCCAGGGATTTCCCACTGCCCATTTTTCCCACCTTAATGGCTTCAACAAAAAGAGACGCCAGTTGTGCGAGAGAGGGTCCGGACAGGGTATGAGTCTGTGTATAACATTTAAGATTGCAAAATGGTGAGTGGACAGATGTGCTCTACTAGACAGATGAACAAAGAAAAGGACAAACAATTGTAAATACATGTCTACAATTCAAAATAATGCCCAAACTGATGGGACAGCAACTCAGTGCAGGATTTAGTTGTTTCTTTTAAAAAGGGAAATGAAGTTGACACAAGATCAGAAAGTGCAATTTTAATAATTATGTTTGTAATAATTTCTACAAGATATTTTAGCATTATGTACTATATATGTATATATACTGTTAGCATAATATATAGAGTGTACCAGAAACAGGTTCCCACTGCAGTTTGCAGGATTTATGGATCAAACTGTGAGAAATAATCAAGATACAATAACTTAACCAGTAACTAAAAGAATATGGAAAACTGATTGTGGCCAAACACCTCTGTAATTTAACTTTTGCAGGGACAAACTTTATTTCGAGCCCCGGCCACTCTCATTAATATAAGCCACTTGGGATGGTGTGTTGTACAAGTAGATACTCATCAAAAGCACCACATTTACCTCCAGCATCAGCAGTCCAATGATATCAGCTGCCACCTCAGTCTGAAGATCCCCAGACTCACACAGAGGGATGCAGTGTTGATAAACAAGAAGTCGGCGGTTCGATCCCTCAGTGGAACAGGGTGGAGAGCCTAACACGAAAACACCACATTAAAACCAAATGTAGGTCATTTTTGTAATGACTCTGACTGGACATATGGCAGCTGACATTGTGAACTCACCTTTAAATATGCCTTTAATCATGGTCCCAACCTTCTTGCCCTTCAGTGCGCCATTGGTAATCACAGCGATGAGCTGGAGAGCACATCATAGAGGCATTTGTGTAACGTTAGTCTATGAGATTTACAACAAGCGGTGGGTTAAAGTAACAAAAAATAACGTTACCTGGTCGTTTTTAAGGGAGGACAGGTACTTCTGAAGCTCGGCGGTACTTTCTCCATCTGATAATGTGACTATTTTATCCATTTCAGCCCTCATGAAGCTGCAGCCGGACACAAGTGGCTGGTAGATAGCAAGAAATCACCGTATAAACTAATAAACTAAGGATTTAACTCTGCGTATCTAATAGCTAAATGAAATATTGGACATTCAATGTAATGTAGTGAGCTAACTCCGTGAAAGGGGCAAAGCCTTCAGTATCTTTGGTAACCCTTTCAACTTCTCCCGCCAGCGAACACTTCCTGTTTTTGCGTCGAGGTTGCCATGTCCGACTCGAAGTATCCCACAATTACATGATCAGATATCCCTGTCGAAGTAACACAAATAAAAATAGTCTTTTATTGTCATTTCACAGCATTTACAGCATTTTACATACACGAAACACAATGTGTGCTCTGTATTTGACCCATCCTATATACAATAATACTCCATTGTACAGTAAAATATGTATAATAATATGTTTTCACAGATTTACCCAACAACAGTATTTCAGTAGACAAACAAACATGCGAAAACACCAATAATAATAAGTCATTAAAAATAATCTAACAATCTTACAGGGGGAATTTTGCATATTGAGTTTTACCTTTAAGTACAGTTTTGGTGAGTAAATACTTGTATTGTTTGTATACTTATGTACATATAATATGTATGTGCTTTTACTTTAAAAATACTAAGTCAATATTTTGAGAATGTTTCTCTTTATAATGACTTTTTCTGTGGGGTTAGTATAAAGTGGGCATGTCTGCAAAAATTCAGCCTAACTTTGGAGCGTTATTTAGCACCCTTGGAGTGGGAGAGGTAAGGATAATGGGGTGGCCAATCAGATATTCAGTGCCACCTCTGGAAACGCCACTGAAGCAGAGGGAGGAAAAAAGAAAAAGGATCATAGTTACATCAGAAGGTGATATAATAATAAAATAAATAAACGACATTTCTTATTTGTTACTAAAGATAACATTCAGAATCAGAAATACTTTATTGATCCCTGGGGGGATAATAATTATATTACATTATCTCTACAACAACAATACATATACAACAATATATTTAGAAATGTAAAAAAAGAAATGCATATATTGGTATACACATGTAAAATAAAAACAGAAAAGAAAATAGTTAAATCTAATAAAAGTATGTACATTCAGTCATTCTGTAACTTCTGCGACACCACAAACGCATTACTTTTTAATTTCTGTCATACATTTACATTTACTTTGTACACATTAGCATATATTATGTATATATTTGTATTACTATAAGGTACATAGGCTCTTATTATATTTGAACTTATATTTATATACCTATACATACATTTCTAGTCTATGTATATATATATTGTGTTAGATACTGTAATATAAGTATAATATCTATTCTTTAACATTGTGTGAGTAGAACAACTGCAAAACAAACAGATTCCCCCCTGGGATCAATAAAGTATCTCTGATAATACACTATACGACCATACATAGAGATAGAAGTAAGTGCATTGCTACATTTAGACACTACTTCAAAGATGGGGTTGAATTATTGACAATAATATATATAATATATAATTATTGACAGTAGAGTTGAATTAAGACGGTGCATCTTAATGGGTTAGACATTTCCTGGAGGCAGGGAGGAAGCTGCAGCGCCAATAATGGCTCTGGGAAGTTGTTACGCTCTTTACGCTCTTTACGCTCTTTACGCTCTTACGCAACGTGACGTCGGGGGATAATGTTTGTCCCCGTGCTCGCGAGGACAGGAGACCAGGCAGTGCTCAGACTGCAGCTGATAGATGTGTTGTGAAGTGATGTAATGTTGCCTGTTTGGTGAACTACGGATGGCTGTTTGTGCCAGGCTCTGCGGAGTGGGTCAGTCGCGGAGGTGCAGGAGGCGACAGCGGCAGAACCAGCAGGGCCAGGGTAGCGATTCCGACATGGACGAGGAAGAAGAGGAGCGGATCGTGGGCCAGAAGCAAGCCGAGGTGGGCTGCAGCAGTGGCGGCGTCGGAGGAGGAGGAGGAGGAGGAGGCGGCGGAGGAGGAAGAGGCCCGGAGAGCGGCGACGCCACTGCAGGGCCGAGTGACGCTTGTGAATATGGCACCGGTCATGTCAGAAGAGGCTGCACGGAGCACACGGGACCTCCACACCCGCAATCGTTAGCGGATTTACCGCCGGAGCTTTTAGTGGAAATATTCTCCTTGCTCCCCGGAACAGCTCTACCAAATGTCGCCCTCGTCTGCAAGAAATTCAAACAAATGCTCAACACCGAAACCATCTGGAGGAGGCGGTGCATGGAAGGTAAATATAGCACTCCGTTTCCCCTTGGACATTAGGCGGTAATGTTTACCGTGTAACGTTACGCTGCTAAATAAAGGAGTGGAGTCACATATTAATATGAGGTGTGTGTGGACCCCTGTCTGTATGAGATTCATTCCCGTCGACAGGTTATTTGTGTCACTCTCGGTGCATACAGCTGTGGTTCCTCTGCAATGTCTGCCCACTAAAAGCATTTCTATTGATCTGTACGGGAACCGTGAGGGAAAAAATACAGTTGAACCCCCCCCTCACTGCGTCCTTAGATTTTCTGCTGTAAAAGATGGCCTCTCACTGTTATTAGGCCCATGTCAGCCATTCTGTGTGGCTGATAAGATTTTTGATTCAGGGCCGGATGTAGCTTTTTTAGGGGGGGTGGGACTTGACTATTACTTTGAGCACCACCAACAGCCCATGTTGTTAGTTAATACGTGTCTCATTCTCCCAGCTCACTGTTGATGTTTTGAAACAAGTAGTCCCGCTCGAACAACTGTAGGAAATGTAATATTTTATTTATTTATACATTTTTTCATGAATCCTCTCTTATGGCAGGTGTAATTTTATTTCATGATACACATTGTGGTATGTTTCTGGTAAATTAAACGAGACGTTGTTAATGGATAAAATAACCCCAAAAAAGATCAAGTGTTTCCATAAAGCAGCAGCCTGATAATAATAATAACAATAATAATAATAATTATTATTAGTATTATTATTATCCTACAGTAGCCAGCTACACTCAGAGATATTAAAGGGATATATGTCACAATATAAATGTATCACAAAATCTCACAGTAGACAAATAACCATACTTGAAATGGTGTATTAAGAGAAATGCTGCTTCTCTATCACTTTCAATTGAACTCTTTCTGAATGTCAAACAAAAATAAGCAACTTAAAGATATAACTTGTGACTTGCTCAGTGGGAACTTGTCATTGTAATTTTCTACATAAAATAAACTTATAAATCTATGAATTGGAAGAATGCTCAGTAGATTCATTGATAATAAAAAAATAAGCATTGGTTGCAGTAATATGAGCAGGGAATATTGGGGATTTGGTGATACAATATATAAAAGAATCGGAAAGCATGAAACAGTTACAGAATAAACACTATTGTGCAAACTGCAATGCAATAAAAGCAGAACTTTAAAAATGATACGTAAATAACTTCAACATTGCTTCCTTTTTAGCAGTTGTATAAACACGATAAACTGACTGTAAAATACTCAAAAGTATTGAAATATTCAAAAGAGATATTTCTCAAATGTTCTGTTGCACAAGTAAGAAACAAATTGTTGTGTGCCAGGGTGTTGAAGAGAGATAGTTGTGGGTTATTAATTGTTGTGTTGTAAAGTTATAACTGCTAGTAATAAGGGTATGCAATTCACAGGACACCCCTCGATACACAATACACAGCTTGCCCCCGACCATAGTGCTCTGTGCAGAGCTACAGCAGTTGTTTCCACTATTAAACTATTCATCCTGTATACTGCCCAGCACTACACCCCAGGCATTTACAGTAAGTTAGGAGGCCTCTTTTATGTATGGGGCAGAACAAAAATTCAAAGAATTTAACTTCTTGTGCTTTATTTAAACATTATAAGCTATTTAAAGCCCTTGTTTTCAAAAGTGTCAAAATAGAAGAAAGCAGTTACAGTAAAGTCTCTCCAAGAGACATTTAAATGTCCTTTGTTAGGTTCTTGGGTCGGCTGCTGGGCCCTGAACAGCTGTTCAGTTCACTTGTGCCTCGGGCCGGCTCTGTGCTAAAGAAGTGATCTGGTCACAGTGTGGACTGTAGCTCTTGACATTGCAAATGTCCCGTCCGGCTGCTCTCAGTGACAACATTAGTCAGATTTGACTTTTTCCATTGTTTAGTAATAATGTGTGTAACACCATGATTAGCATTATGAATTAGATAAATATGGAGATATCTAATCAGTGTTTAAAAATTCGACTCACTGCATAACCATTTTCATTACCACTTATAAAGATACAGATATTTTGCATACGTAGTCTTAGCGAATCAAATTTTATGTTAATCTTGCTCCTATTTCCCTTGTGCGTTTTCTCTCCGCAGAGTTTGGCATGAGGGACGATCTGAGGAAGATGGAAGTGGGAGGAGTGTGTAGCCGGGACCTCTATGTTAAACGTGAGTTTTGACGGCTGGATTAACAGCTTTCATGTCACCCATGCATTGATCCAGTGAAGTATTTGGTTCAGTCGTACTCCATCGGGTCATTCAATATTTGCACCCTCACATTTTCTTGTGTGTGTGTATGTGTGTCTAGATAGATCTCCCTAATTCAGACTGTGATTTGCAGCAGATGGGAAACAGTCCTAGCAAATTTCCTTTTTAATATAAATGTGGTTTGTCTGATCCATGTAGACTGTTGATGATAAAACTTTTTTTTTTTAATGTAGTCTCTCCCATCTGTTCCTCCTTTGTGTATCAGCAGAGATATATAGAGCTAATTTTGCATTTTGAAATTCCAGCTGCCACAAAACATGCCAGGCAAAGTGGTTGGCACCTGTTGGCTCTTTGAATAGATTATTTTGGCACATTACTGCATTCACTAGACGGCTGCAGTGGACTGAGCCTGTTTAGGTCCTGGTGGCTGCTCTACACATGCCTGTGTTGTGCCTGTCCAGGTGTCAACCCACGGGTGAAGTCTGGGCGCTTTATGAAGCTCCTCCCGGACTACGAGCACATGGACTATAGAGACGTGTACACACACTGTATGTACATGGGCCTCAAAGTGGAGGGCTGCAGCATGAGGGGTTGTGTGAGTGGGACTCTTATTGATTTAATTTGTAAGCAAACAGTTGCAGCAGTGTTTATGCATCCTGTGTGATCGGTGAATGTGTTGATGCTTCACCATAGCACTGTTTGCCTTCATATTAAGTGTGAAATGGGAGGCCGGATCATTTTTGGTATGCTGTGTGTGTTGTTCAAACTGGCTGCCAGGAAAATGGTCAGTTTACGCTTTCTTCCCTTTGGGTTTACATCTCATAGACTCCATCCTCACAGACATTAAATAAAAGTTTGAGTCTGTAGGTTTTAACATCTCCTTTTTGTGTGTTTTTAACCATGCAAAGTGTAGCCCATAGTAAAAGGTGGGTGTAACATTGAAGAAACTGATCAGTACGGTGTGATGTTGTGCTCTTGTGTTGCAGTGCTTCACCCGTACAGACATATTTTGGGCTTATGGCAGCCTGACATAGGGCCTTATGGCGGATTGCTCAACGTTGTGGTAAGCAGTGTTTCTCAATCAAGACATTTCCATTAAAATAGGGAACAATGACAGCAATTTTCAGCAAGGAACCTAACAATATCTTATGATCCTTTCAATTGGTGATGAATTACTAAAAGTGTGTTTCATTCAGGTGGACGGGCTTTTCATCATTGGCTGGATGTATTTGCCACCTCATGACCCCCGTGTGGAAGATCCCATGAGAAGACGTCCACTCTTCCGCATCCATTTGTGGGAGAGCCAAAAGGCCACTGTAGAGTGTATGTACGGACACAAAGGTCCCCACAAAGGAGACATTCAGGTACAGGGCTTAAACGGCACAAAAGCTTCTCAGTGCACCAAAGAATACTTTAATTTGAGGTTAGAAGCTTATAAAAGTAGCTTATCCTTTAATATGTGTCATTGTGTTACTTTTAGACTGTCAAGAAGGATGAATTTTCAACCAAATGTAACCAGACCGATTATCACCGCATGCCAGGAGGCAGACAGGAGGTGGGTCAAATCAGATAATTGTTACTACGTGAAACCTGATGATAACATGTTATAAATATTCACTTATCTTTTTTGTCTTTAAAGCCTGCTTACTTATAATGGTAATGTCAAAAAATTATCATTATACTGTTATGTTACTGTTATCTAATTTGTGTGTGTGTGTGTTCTCGTGTGTAGGAGTTCAGGACGTGGTTGGAGGAAGAATGGGGTCGGACACTTGAAGAAATCTTCCACGAGCACATGCAGGAGCTCATTCTGATGAAGTTTATTTATACTAGTCAATACGAGTATGACTCTCTTCCTTACATCAGACTTTCTTTGTGGCTGAAATCAACAGTTTCAATGAATGTAATGCCTCAGTAGATTTTATAGGTTAACCAGTGATGAAAAGAGGGGCTTGTAAGAGATGGTTCTCTTACAAATTCATGTATAGCCTGTCCATGTAGTTCTGATTGGAGGCGCAGGTAAAAAGCTGTGGCTTTCGTCTGCTTTCTTTTGACAGTAACTGCTTGACATACCGGAGGATCTACCTGCCTCCTGTGATGCCCTCTGACCTGCTGCAGCCGGGCCTTTTCAAAGGCACCTATGGCAGTCACGGCTTGGAGATTGTCATGCTCAGTTTCCACGAGACGTCTGCGCGAGCCACCAAGCTCACAGTAAGTTAGTGATCAATCATTATCCGAGGCTGTATTGGTCAGCTTCGGATAATGATGACCTGACCTTAATAACTAACAGAAATGAATGATACGCCCTGCAGTATAAAGTAATTGCAGGCTTATTACAATTCAAGGATCATGGAAGGACAAAGGATCACAGAAATGTATTCATCATTATACAACACAAGGTTGTACAGCAAACTGAAAGTTTGCAGTCCTTTCATACTACACACATAGAACAACAGGTAATTATATTTATGTTAGAATAACATAAAGTAAAATATATAGGGGTATTTATTTACATATACACAATATCCGGGGGCAGCCACAAGTCCATGTTGGGCCAGCTTTCCGACTGTCTCCCTCTCCTCCTGGTGATCGATCACAGCACTTGTTGCGGTTGGTTGTTTTGGCTGATCTGGCTAAGTAGATCAACTCAAGGTCCACTGGTCTTTAATCCAAGCCCTATGCTTCCTTTTCCAATGACAGCAATAAAGTTGAAAACACATTAAAACCGAAACAGAGTGAGAGAGTTTGAAGGAGCTACAGGCCTCAGCATCTGCATACGCAGCTGTTACCATTGTCATAATCTCCTGATCCAGTCGACTGCACAATTTTGTCTTTGAGATCCAATCCAATCCAGTCCAATCCAATTCGACACCATTCAATGATGTTTTAGCTTAAAGGCCGAAATATGACAAAAATGTAGCAAGTTTGAAGGAGCTACCAGCTGCTGCATCTACATGTACCACCATTGCCAATTCCACACAAACAATTCTATGGACACATTGATTTTCTACAGAAAGACTTCCTGTGAATCCTTTGATATTTTGTGAACAACAAACTATTCAGCCAAAGATCCTGATGTAATCATCACTTGGGCTTTTAACAGGCACCCCTATACAACCAAGTGCCTTTGATTGGAACATTCTCCCATTTTTGACCTCGCGGATGTAACATTGACTGACAAAATTCCTCTGCTAGTTGTGAGGACTGTAATTGTACTCCTTCCTGCAGGGAGACCCCAATGTTCCTGCAGGGCAACTCACTTTGGATGTTGACCTGAGCCGACCTGTGGTCCTCCCCGACTTGGAGCAACAGCGAAACATAGAGGAACTGTCCCGGCTGGTACTAGGGGTACACGAGGAAGTACAGAGAGAAGCAGAACAACAGGCCAAGGGCACTTCGGCCACAGGCAGAAGTGCAGCAGAGGCGGGCTGTGGTGGTGCCAGTGCAGAAGAAGGGATGGAGGCAGACCACGGTGTCTGTTTAGACAGCTGTCAGCCTGGCCCCAGCACGACCACCACCACCAGCCCCCCTGAACCCAAGCCCTTCGTTCTGCCCCTGGGGGTTATGGCTCGCAATGAGGTGTACCCTCGCACCTGCAGGGAAAGGTAAGAACTCTGCAAAAAGGACGTGGAAAATGAATACAGTGTAAACTCCACATTGTACAGGTGGATTGTAGCGGCCTTTGCCCCTGTAACAGTGGTATTAGACACAGTGTGCTTATTGTTCTTGAGCTGGTTTCTTTCTTCTTATGTTGGATTGTTGTTGAAAGTTCATGGCCAACAGGCTGAAATCATACCAGTCTCTAATAAATGCCTGTCAATGCGGGTTGAATGTTAGAATATTTAATTTACCATATAAATAAGAATTAATAACAATAACAAATTACTGCAAATTTAAAAAATATATATTATTCAGTGTGTGTGATACAGTCCTATTTCTATCACAATCAATTCATCTGCATTAATTATAAAATAATATTCATCAGTTATTATTAATTATTAAAGTAAAATACTATATAACCATGACCAGTTATTTGTATTTTCTGTACTGTTTGTTAGGGTTAGGGTTAGAGTTTGTAACCCATTGATATTGATATCCATCCAAATATTGATTAATTGATGTTCCTCCATTTCAGCTTCTATGGAACAGGCCTGATCGCTGGGCACGGCTTTACAAGTCCAGAGCGCACCCCGGGGCTCTTTGTGCTGTTTGATCAGGACCGTTTTGGTTTCATCTGGCTGGAGTTGAAGTCTTTCAGTCTGTACAGTCGCCTGACGGACCACCTAGCCCATGCTCACGCCCCAAACATGGAGCGGTTTGAGGCCATGCTGCGCAACATGCAGTCCTGGACATCCTGATGCACCACACTTTAAGTCTCCTCCCACAATACAACGCATAATAACAACCATCATAAACAAATCACCTCTGTCCTCCGCTGACAACGTTACTATTGTGATAGCATCATGACCTTAACTCTCCAGTTTCTATCTTTATCTGTTTCACAAACATTGTGTTTTACTGTCTAATTAAGCTGGTTTTATCACCCCAAGCACTTTGAAAGGCCCCCAAGTCACCATTGAATCACCTCACCTCAGTATGACCTTTATCCTCCAGTGCAGTATGAGAACAGGTCACATTGACATTTTTTTATTTATTTATTTATTCCCTTCAGGAAAAAAGGAACGATATTTCATACCACTTATTATGGATCAAACTGTACGTGCCTCTGATTCTAAAACCATGTCTGTACTTGGTAGTGCTTGAAGAAGAAAAAGGTGTCCAATGTATTATACTATATAGTATTATACTGATTTTAGTGCCCAACATATTGAACTGCATGCTGCATTTTTTTATGTTATTACTCAAATCTAATCACATTACACTCATAACCATTATCTGAACATGATGTTTTATTTCCATTAAGCAGCATGCCTTGCTTTTTAGGGTTTATTTTCTTCATCCAAATTTACAAAAAAGACAGCATCTCAGGTGTTTTTCTCTTTGCCACTTGTCAGTAAAAAACAGGACAAAAGTATTTATGTGTATAACAAAAATGTGTGAAGTAAAATTCATTGTATTAATTTGTCAAATAGAAATACGGAGTGGAGTTTTACAACTGGGCAATTTTCTAATCATAGACAAAATAGGATTTGCTGTCTTATCAAATACTGTAGCTACATCAGCCAGTCTTGGGCAGACTGATATATTTTTGCCCTTTGAATTTAAAGGTGCGGTCATTCTGGAGAAAGATAGTCGATGGTTGAGTCTCATGTCTAAGTCGTCCAGTATGAACACTTTAGTTTATGGTCTCAACAACAACAATCAACTATCTTTCTCTAGAATGACTGACCCTGCCTTTAAGAGATACTGTATGTTTTTCAGTGATATGGTTTGGCTCATGGTATTACATCAGGGATACTCAACTTGCTTTGCCCAGGGGTAATTTTTGCTAAATGACAGGGGGCCAGTGGCTTAATTAACAACAATAAACAAGCTCTGATTATATTTATCAGGTAAAATGAACAAGCATTATGATTGTTGTGGCAGAATAAGACAACTCTTTTCTTGTAGTTCTACCAGGTGGTAACGCTGCACTGAAGGTAGTATGTTTTGACTCGTGCTGCCGCCTGACGTGAGCAACCTTGCATTTGCCTTTACCGAGGGATTAGGATTGGTATTAGGTGGAAAAATAAGAGCCTTCTGTACATTTTTTCATTGAATTGCCTGTTTTCATTATCAACCTTTCGGTGTTTGCTGTCCTCACTCATCTTTGCCAACAGGCCAATTCAGTTGTAGCAGCCCTGTGAAGTTCAGAAACCAAGTGACACAGCTTCCGAACACTGCACACATCGCTAATATCGGTACGCAACCTCCCTAGTAACAGCCAAGGGACAATACTGAACATTTTTTATTTTCATTGTGAATTAGAAAATGTTCGGCTGGCCACCCAGCACCCTATCTGGCCTGCGGGCCTTAAGTTGAGTATCACTGTTCTACATCAAACATACTTTAATGTCTCCACACCTGACATATTATGTAAGTTGGAAAGATGTATTGTACTGCAATAGAATAACATAACCTTTACAGAAGCTGGATTTAATGAAAATTATACAGTTTGTGTGCTTATATCATTCTGATCTGAAACATAAACTCTGAAATGTATCGCATTTGTTGTTTGCATATGACGTTTGCCTGGCTTTATACCTGCAAAAGCTATTCCCTCCAGTTTACTATTTGATTTCAAACTTGAGACCAGGCTAGCTGAACATTATACAAACAGCTCAAAGTGCATCTCAAAGTACCAAGTTAAGTGTCTGTATGTCTCATTACGGCCTGGTGGTGATGCCCAGTAGCTTTCCTACTCCAAGTGCACTTTTCTGGGCAGTATAGTGAATCATTCAAAACCACTGGCCAGCACTTTTATATCAGACTGCAGCTTTACTAACATTTGCAAAAAATAAAGTGTCTGCTAAAGCATCATCAACTTATTTTAGCACATTCAATTAATATTCTTTCAAATTTAGTACATTTGCTTTATACATTATTCTATCTGTAAGCCCTCTGTATCCAGCTATTTGAATGATTTGCTTTTGCAAAATGTTGCTTTGTACTATTTTCAATGTCATACGCCTGATTTTGTGGAAAAATAACTAAGTTTGACCAATTGAACTGCTCACATCGGACTTCAGGGAGCTTTTCAGCTTTAGCGCTCTTCTCAGTAATAAAAAATACAAAACTGAAAAGAACCTTTTTGTCAAATTTGTTGATGTCTTTCTATTGTTTGTATGTACATCCCATTGCTGTAATGTAAGTAAACTGTTCTCAACTATCACTTGAAATGATTATCTCCTTTCACTTCTGTTTTATTGCCACAGTTGAATATTAATTATAATACAGTAATATACCAATACAACTCAATAGAGCATGGAGCACAAATGAATACTGTAAAAATAAACTTTTATCTTAAGTGAAATATATTCACTGTTCATACCGAAGTGCTGGAACATTCCTGGTTACAAGGTGGGCTGTAGACCCAGGTCTGGTAACCCACGTAAACCTTTTCGCACCAGTGGCCAGTGTGTGTATGAGAGAGTTCTCAATTTTGTCTATGTGACTGGAGGGTGAACTTGTTAGACAATATTGAGTCAGGTACATACAAAGGTATAATTAGAAAACCTATATGAATGGTTTCACAGCAGCTTCGAAAGATTTTTTATTTTTTATTTTGGAATCAAGATCCTTAAATATGTGACCTAACTTACCTCAGTAGTAGTATCATCATGTCCTTTAAGATGCCCTTCTACTACATATTTCCTTTTGGGCTTTTCAATTTTACAGTCTTAGTTTTTAAGTTGACTTGTGGAACTGGACAATTCTCACAATGTGTGATGATTTGTATAGGCTACAAAAAGTACTACAAAAGTTTGTTAGAATATTTATTACAATATTGTTATCACATTATGTTTAACAATGATTTCACAGTATGTCTAATGCATTTCTGGTTGACTTGTTTGTGGTTTAAAATGGAATCATTAAAAAAAAAATAATATGAAAAGAGGAAGTGACTGTTCTACAACTCGCTGTGCTCCTTTTTATATTGTTGAATCTTCTGCGGTAGGGTCTGAGTCATGAAGACAAAGTGGTCGTTCTTCAAGTGCTGACCAACTGCCTGCTCCTTTGTACCAATTTTCAAGTAGTATTCTTCTGCTCCATACTTAGGCCAGTGTACAAGACCGTTCCCATTAGGAGACCTACACACAGGCACACACACACACACACACACACACACACACACAAACAATATTTAAACAGTTTGTCTTAACTCAATGTGTACTATAACTTATATTGAGGGTTAATTCCTACCCTGTGTGAGCGAAGTTGCCCCAGTAGCTCATAACAACTCTGCTCAACTGCTCCTCCTCTTCAGGACATGCACCTAAAATAATGATACAAATCTGGTAAACAGACAAAATCTCTTCTGGTCTGTTGAAATTGTGATTTTTATATTGCACTTACTGGCTAATTTGACATGGGAAGTTGTGAAGCAGATTCCAAATACAGTAAAGATTTCATCTCCATGGTCACTCCCAACAAAACTTGGCCTTTTTGACTGTGAGAATGTGGGAGGATGATGGTATTCATACAGGTACACAGGGGCGCCTGCATCTAGTAGTTGACAAATGAGAGAGATATATCTTGTTTATGAAAGTGTGTGACAGTAAATATTAAATAATGGGTTTGAAATAGATTTGCATAGTCTTGTGTAAATAAACTACCTGTGTGGACATTAGCAGTCTTAATGGCTGGAATGTTGAACAATATATCTCCAATCAACTCAGTGAACCCTTTTCTATTTTTCACACGATCTTCACCGGTTCCGGTATATTCATCCACTATCAAATCTCTGATGACCGCATCTTTGGGCTTGAGAAAATGACAAACACAACTGTCAGAGAGGTTTGAGCATGATGAAACATTACTATGACACTGTAATGTCAGGCAGTGTCTGTCTTACATCAGGGTAGAACATGGAAATAGCGTTCACAATCTGCTCCCGATCCATTCCCTCTGTCCAGTTTGGAGGAGCAAAGATCTAAGGGAAAACACAGCTGGAATTAACATTTCAGACAAAAATCATATTTTTCCATGGGCTCATCTGGGAATCTGTAAGAATTTTGCATTCACACTTACACCAGCAAGTAACCAGCCCCCTTCATCACTATTAACGCCAGTCATAAATGGCATGGTGAGAAGTTCATGCTTATGGAACAGCTCATCCACAGATTTTCTCAGGAAGTGTCCATCAACATTTATGAGAAATCTCAATCTTTCATCCTTGAGAGAATAAAAATGTTTACAAGAAAAATTTGAGATGAAGACAACATAATAATACTAATCCAATCAAGTCGGCCATCAGTTCAAAAAATATCTCACCTGCCCAAAAGCAACAATAGTATTAATATCGAGGTCTCTCATGCAATCGGCGATCTTCTCTGTGCTTTCGAGGCTACAGCCAGACATATTTGCTACCATCTGAGGACAACAATTTAGGAAAACAAGGATGTTGTGAAATTCTCATTGTGTACTGAAAGGTGAACATAAAAACAACCTAATCACCTAATAATCTACCTGCGTGACCGGTAGAGGATCATTTGTAGTGAGCATATCCATTGCAGCAGTGCCACTCTCAGCAATGGCATGGTGAAACAGGCCATCAGACAATGGAGAGAGAAGCTGTTGATTCAAGCGGCAGAAAAAATGAAAGGTTCAGTGGAGAGCGGTTTCTTTGCAGTGACAGTACTGTGCTTTCTATCTGCAGACTGATCCTTACCAGAAGGGATACACTCACTCCACCAGCAGACTCCCCAAATATGGTAACTAAATCTGGGTCTCCTCCAAAGTTGTGAATGTGCTCCTGGGTCCACCTCAGAGCTTGTACCTGGTCCAGCAGACCAAAGTTCCCGGGCATGTGTTCATCTGCGGTGCTGAATAGAACGTAAACTAGTCAAAGTGACTCCAAATTTGAATTTTTGTTCATTTGCAATAGATCAGTCCAAAAGAACTGCAACGTAATCATAGTATGTTTATTCTAAGTGTGCTTAGTGAATTTAATCTTTTTTACCTGAGAAAGCCAAGAAGTCCCAAGCGGTACTGGATCAGAACCACAACAACATCCTGGTATGCAGCCAGGGCAGAGCCATCAAACATTGAAGCTGACCCCATACCAAACCCTCCACCATGGATCCAGACCATAACCTGGTAAGGTAATGAAAGTTACCTTACCTTGAAAAATTGTATTTTTGAACTTTTTTCTAACTGATTGAGACAAATTGGGTAGCAAGGGGTTCTTACTGGTAGTTTGGCATTGGGAGCTCTGTTTGCTGGAGTATAAATGTTGAGGTAAAGGCAGTCTTCTGAAATGTCTGGGATTTCTACCAACATGTCACCGAGTTTATCAAGCAGATCTATGGTAAACTGTTTATGTTGAACACACCTGAAAAACAGACATGTTTTTTGTGTTAAGTACTGGGCATTGTTTCTCAAAGTGTGGTATCACATCAATGCCTTACATAAGCGGCTGCTTGGTGGCGTCCCTCACTCCTTCCCATCCCTCTACAGGCTGAGGTGCAGCCAGTCTCAGAGCAGGGCCTACAGGTGGCTTGGCAAATGGAACACCCAGGTAGGCGTGGACCCCAGTCTCCTTCCCCTTTACGCTCACATACTCACCCCTCAGGCTGCCCAGCTTTGTGTGGACTTCAGGTGCTGTTAGGATGTCAGAATCATAATGTGATTGATCGATAGAAAACTAATCAACAAAAAGTTTATACATTTTGGGCTTCTTGTAACAACTTGGGCTCCGGGGCAGTTTTTAAATGTTCTACTAGACAAACTACACTTTTATACAGTTAATGATTAATTGAAACCTTACTGACTGATTAATTGTTAATGCAAATCTATAAGTGACTTTATGGTAGAAAACCTTTTTAGTTCAATACATATTTATTTAATACATTACTCATGCAGGCCATTTGGTGGATCAAGTTAAACTCAAATGGAAAACATTTTAAACTTGTGTAGAGCTGCAGAGCTGCACCCTGGTTCAACTGTGACCCACTGGATGAAGTTATGCAATGCAGCCTAGATTCTGAGTGTGTAAACTGTTAACATCATATCTCAACAATAAGTGGTTTACATATAAATTTCGTGCTGGGTTTATTTAAAATGGGTTATTTGCCAAAATGGTTGTTTTGTACATTGTGTTGATCTAATCTCTGCAATCAACCTGGTGAATTAAATGTTATATATATATAAAGACCAAGGTCCCAAAAATAATAGAAAGTCAAAAAGGTATTTTCCTGTAAGAAGATGATGCACCACAATGAGTATGATATCTGTTTATTCACCTACAGTAATTCTCGTAGTCATGTTATCCTGTACAATGACTACCGCCAGTATGCTCTGTAGGTCAAAAGTAACCTAGAATGCAAGTGAACAAGAATGCAGCCCTACAAGAGATGCATTTCAAATAAAGGGATATACTGTAGCTATAATAGATCTATGTTGTTATTCAGATTCACATTGCGGTCACATCTAAAATAAAAAAAAATTATGCAAATGTATATCTGTGGTCGCCTATGTCAATGTGTCAATACAGTAGTTTGGTCCTACTTACCATGTAGGTCTGCAGCCCCAAGCAGAACTAAAACAGACGCTAGAAAAACTAAAGTTTGCTTTCCACGGAAATTAATGGTGGTCGTTCTCTGTGCTGATTGCGACACACTGCTTGTCTTTATAACTTGGACCGAGCTATTGCCGCACTCAGTAATATTACGTAATTTATGGCACGAGTCACAGCGACAGGTGATCAGGAGAAACCTTTCAGCCCCCTATTGTTGACACACTGGTTCAATGGTCATAGTGGGTCAAAGTATTTTCTCATGAAGAGTTTATCTCATCTGTGTTTCTAAAAAAAACTAAAGCATGACATTAGACTTGTCTAATAATACTACTACTTACGGTACTGGCGGTTTTACAATGACAGATTTTAACATATGTTAAAATGTATGAAATAATAAAAGTTTATTGCAAATAATGAACAAACATGAACTGATGTGGTATACTGAGGGATGAGGGGATGAGGGATGAATGGATGAGGGATAAAGTGATGTGGGGTAGAGGTTGAGGGTGGAAGGCTGAGGGATGAATGGTTGAGGGTTGAGGGATGGGATGAGGGTTGAGGGATGAAGGGATGAGGGTTGAGGGATGAAGGGATGAAGGGATGAGGGTTGAGGGATGGAGGTAGGGTCGAGGAATGAAGGTCGGGGGATGAAGGTCGAGGAATGAAGGTCAAGGGATGAAGGTCTGTTGGCGGATGGATGAATGGATGGAGGGGTTCGGCGCGATGTAAGAGGGAACCGAGTGGGTTGTGAGACACTGAGTGGGGGAGCTGTCTCTTCCTATCTCTTGTAGAGAGCCCCCAAAGAGACTTCGAATCAACTCGTAAGCATGGTGTTTTTGATATCGCTTAGGTCGTAACAGATGTACGTGAGATATGCTCAAGAAGACTATCTGCCAAGGGGTTTAGTGCTGATATCTGGGATTCCCTGCCTGGAAGCAGTGGACGTGGCCCCGGATGCAAGGGAATTCCCCGAGTATGGCTCTGGGGAAATTCCTGGTTTGGACAGGATTTGCAGATGTGACGAAACTGATTTCGTGTGGGTACGATGATTTTAACGATGGAATGGCGTCAGTAGAGGATGGTGGCTGAAGATGGTGGGACTGGAGTCGGAACGGCGTCGGAGGCTGGTGGCGATTGTCTGAATTTATGAAACGAGAAGCGAGAATGCGTGTTGTGATTACGTTTTGCGACCTGGGATGCGAGAAGCTCGGGTGATGAACTGATGCTGGGCTGAAGCTAGGGTAAGCTTCCATATAAACTGCGTTATATTAAGGCAGTGGGACTGGTCCCTTGCTTATGATGTCGGATAGTGGTGGTGATGATTTTCTTGGACCATTAGTGACCCCAAAGAATGACTACTATGATTACTGGGTACGTTTCGTGGATGGCAGAGGAAGAAGGGATGAGAATTCGAGTAGCCGCTTGGCTGAAAACCGCCTTCCACTGGGTTTCCCCTTCGGCGGAAGGTGCTGCATCTGTTAATAGCTTGACGTGTTCTAACTTAGTGATGTGGTTGTCGTAAAAGAATAAAATACTATTACGTGATGAGAGGAACTGGTGCCATGATTTGCATGCATCGTCCGGTGTGGCATGTTTGTGGAGTGACGTGGGTTGGACTGATTCCGAATGTAGGGAATGGTGGACTGGGGAATGGACCAATCGTGAATGCGTCTTTAATTTCTCTATCCGGGGAGTTTATCAGCTATGTCGGACTCGGAAGTGGCTGACTACGAGTTGTAGCATGTATGTGGAATCTGGCGCGACCTGTAAACCTAGGTAAAGACAGTCTGTAAATCTTCGTATGAGGTGGTTAACGAACTGTCGATCTGGGTGGTTCTTCGAGGCGGTGGCGAGAGCGTTGATATTTATTGGTGTATTCGGATGCTTATGCGGGCTTGCTTAGTTGTATTATGGGTACAGGTGGATATTGTGCGTGCTCTGCTGCAGAAGGAGCAGGTGAGGAGCAAACGGCAAATGGAGGTGTTGCTTCTGAGTTTGTTGGAATTGTTACGAACCGTCCTTTTGGCATGGTAGAGGACTGGTCTATTTCTCTTGTCGACACCCTTGGAATGAGGGCCGTGGTTAAACGATTTGGGGGTCATGGATGGGGGGCTGTACATACAGCGGAAAACAGCGGGGCTAAGTTGATTTTGAGGTAAGGTTCGGGGCAAAGAAACTGTGAAGGTGTGTGTTGTGGTGGGACTGGATAGGCACTGCGCCGCATTGGTCACGATTCAGGGAAGAGCAAGCTGCGAGAACACAGCGGTAGAGTTCTGGATCTAATGAGCCCCCGTAAGTTCCCCGATTGAATTGTTGCAGGCAACCGGCGGCTTGGGATGCGAACGGAATATGATATGTGTAGAATCTGTTACTGCTGAGCCGCGGGGCTAGGTCAAGTATCAAGTTGGGTCAAGTTGCTGTCTTTGCCAAGCTAGTTTTATTGAAAATTATACAGTTTGTGTGCTTATATCATTCTGATCTGAAACATAAACTTTGAAATGTATCGCATTTGTTGTTTGCATATGACGTTTGCCTGGCTTTATATCTGCAAAAGTCCTCTGTATCCAGCTATTTGAATGATTTGCTTTTGCAAAATGTTGCTTTGTACTATTTTCAATGTCATACGCCTGATGTTGTGGAAAAATAACAAAGTTTGACCTATTGAACTGCTCACATCGGACTTCAGGGAGCTTTTCAGTTTAAGCGCTCCTCTCAGTAATAAAAAATACAAAACTGAAAAGAACCTTTTTGTCAAATGTATTTATGTCTTTCTATGGTTTGTATGTGCATCTCATTTTAATGTAAGTTAACTGTTCTCAACCATCACCTGAAATGATTATCTCCTTTCACTTCCGTTTTATTGCCACAGTTAAATATTGATTATAATACAGTAATATACCAATACAACTCAATAGAGCATAGAGCGCAAACTAATACTGTCTATGTGACTGGAGAGTGAACTTGTTAGACAATGTTGAGTCAGATACATACAAAGGTATTAGAAAATCTATATCAATGGTTTCACAACAGCTTCAAAAGATTTTTAATTTATTTTGGAATCAAGATCATTAAAAAGGTATTAAATGTGTGGCCTAACTTAACTCAGTAGTAGTATCTTCATGTCATTTAAGATGCCCTTCTACTACATATTTCCTTTTTGGCTTTTCAATTTTACAGTTTTAGTTTTTAAGTTGACTTGTGGAACTGGACAATTCTCACAATGTGTGATGATTTGTATAGGCTACAAAAAGTACTACAAACGTTTGTTAGAATATTTATTACAATATTGTTATCACATTATGTTTAGCATTGATTTCACAGTATGTCTAATGCATTTCTGGTTGACTTGTTTGTGGTTTAAAATGGAATCATTAAAAAAATATATATGAAAAGAGAAAGTGACTGTTCTACAACTCACTGTGCTCCTTTTTATATTGTTGGATCTTCTGCGGTAGGGTCTGAGTCATGAAGACAAAGCGCTCTTTCTTCAAGTGCTGACCAACTGCCTGCTCCTTTGTACCAATTTCCAAGTAGTATTCTTCTGCTCCATACTTAGGCCAGTGTACAAGACCGTTCCCATTAGGAGACCTACACACAGGCGCACACACACACACACACACACACACACACACACACACACACAAACATTATAAACAGGTTTGTCTTAACTCAATGTGTACTATAACTTATATTGAGGGTTAATTCCTACCCTGTGTGAGCGAAGTTGCCCCAGTAGCTCATAACGACTCTGCTCAACTGCTCCTCCTCTTCAGGACATGCACCTAAAATAATGATACAAATCTGGTAAACAGACAAAATCTCTTCTGGTCTGTTGAAATTGTGATTTTTATATTGCACTTACTGGCTAATTTGACATGGGAAGTTGTGAAGCAGATTCCAAATACAGTAAAGATTTCATCTCCATGGTCACTCCCAACAAAACTTGGCCTTTTTGCCTGGATGAATGTGGGAGGATGATGGTATTCATACAGGTACACAGGGGCGCCTGCATCTAGTAGTTGACAAATGAGAGAGATATATCTTGTTTATGAAAGTGTGTGACAGTAAATATTAAATAATGGGTTTGAAATAGATTTGCATAGTCTTGTGTAAATAAACTACCTGTGTGGACATTAGCAGTCTTAATGGCTGGAATGTTGAACAATATATCTCCAATCAACTCAGTGAACCCTTTTCTATTTTTCACACGATCTTCACCGGTTCCGGTATATTCATCCACTATCAAATCTCTAAAGACCGCATCTTTGGGCTTGAGAAAATGACAGACACAACTGTCAGAGAGGTTTGTGCATGATGAAACATTACTATGACACTGTAATGTCAGGCAGTGTCTGTCTTACATCAGGGTAGAACATGGAAATAGCGTTCACAATCTGCTCCCGATCCATTCCCTCTGTCCAGTTTGGAGGAGCAAAGATCTAAGGGAAAACACAGCTGGAATTAACATTTCAGACAAAAATCATATTTTTCCATGGGCTCATCTGGGAATCTGTAAGAATTTTGCATTCACACTTACACCAGCAAGTAACCAGCCCCCTTCATCACTATTAACGCCAGTCATAAATGGCATGGTGAGAAGTTCATGCTTATGGAACAGCTCATCCACAGATTTTCTCAGGAAGTGTCCATCAACATTTATGGTAAATCTCAATCTTTCATCCTTGAGAGAATAAAAATGTTTACAAGAAAAATTTGAGATGAAGACAACATAATAATAATAATCCCATCAAGTCGGCCATCAGTTCAGCAAACAATATCTCACCTGCCCAAAAGCAACAATAGTATTAATATCGAGGTCTCTCATGCAATCGGCGATCTTCTCTGTGCTTTCCAGGCTACAGCCAGACATATTTGCTACCATCTGAGGACAACAATTTAGGAAAACAAGGATGTTGTGATATTCTCATTGTGTACTGAAAGGTGAACACAAAAACAAACAACCTAATCACCTAATAATCTACCTGCGTGACCGGTAGAGGATCATTTGTAGTGAGCATATCCATTGCAGCAGTGCCACTCTCAGCAATGGCATGGTGAAACAGGCCATCAGACAATGGAGAGAGAAGCTGTTGATTCAAGCGGCAGAAAAAATGAAAGGTTCAGTGGAGAGCGGTTTCTTTGCAGTGACAGTACTGTGCTTTCTATCTGCAGACTGATCCTTACCAGAAGGGATACACTCACTCCACCAGCAGACTCCCCAAATATGGTAACTAAATCTGGGTCTCCTCCAAAGTTGTGAATGTGCTCCTGGGTCCACCTCAGAGCTTGTACCTGGTCCAGCAGACCAAAGTTCCCGGGCATGTGTTCATCTGCGGTGCTGAATAGAACATAAACTAGTCAAAGTGACTCCAAATTTGAATTTTTGTTCATTTGCAATAGATCAGTCCAAAAGAACTGCAACGTAATCATAGTATGTTCATTCTAAGTGTGCTTAGTGAATTTAATCTTTTTTACCTGAGAAAGCCAAGAAGTCCCAAGCGGTACTGGATCAGAACCACAACAACATCCTGGTATGCAGCCAGGGCAGAGCCATCATACATTGAAGCTGACCCTATAGCAAACCCTCCACCATGGATCCAGACCATAACCTGGTAAGGTAATGAAAGACGTGTACGATTGTATTTTTGAACTTTTTTCTAAGTGATTGAGACAAATTGGGTAGCAATGGGTACTTACTGGTAGTTTGGCATTGGGAGCTCTGTTTGCTGGAGTATAAATGTTGAGGTAAAGGCAGTCTTCTGAAATGTCTGGGATTTCTGCCAACATGTCATCGAGTTTATCAAGCAGATCTATGGTAAACTGTTTATGTTGAACACACCTGAAAAACAGACATGTTTTTTGTGTTAAGTACTGGGCATTGTTTCTCAAAGTGTGGTATCACATCAATGCCTTACATGAGCGGCTGCTTGGTGGCGTCCCTCACTCCTTCCCATCCCTCTACAGGCTGAGGTGCAGCCAGTCTCAGAGCAGGGCCTACAGGTGGCTTGGCAAATGGAACACCCAGGTAGGCGTGGACCCCAGTCTCCTTCCCCTTTACGCTCACATACTCACCCCTCAGGCTGCCCAGCTTTGTGTGGACTTCAGGTGCTGTTAGGATGTCAGAATCATAATGTGACACTTAATCACAATTTATCAATTCAATTTTCATTACTCTTTCAAATAACAAATATAAATCCTCCAAATATGTAACATGCGGTTGAAAAATTACTGACTGATTAATTGTTAATGCAAATCATTATTTGTTGCAGATCTATAGGTGACATTATGTTAGCGTATGTTTTAGTTTAATATATGTTTATTTAATACATTATTCATGCAGGCCATTTGGTTGATCAAGTTAAACTGAAATGGAAAACATTTCAAACTTGTGCAGAGCTGCAGAGCTACACCCTGCAGCCTAGATTCTGAGTTTGTTAACCGTTAACATCATATCTCAACAATAAATGCTTTACATATACATTTCATGCTGGTTTTATTTAAAACGGGTTATTTGCCATAATGGTTGCTTTGTATATTGTGTTGATCTAATCTCTCAACCTGGTGAATTAAATGTTATATGTATATATATACATATATAAAGACCAAGGTTGTAAAAAGAATAGAAAGTCAAAAAGGTTTTTTCCTGTAAGAAGATGATGCATCACATTGCTCCATTCTGGCAATTTTACACCACAATGAGTATGATACCTGCTTATTCCCCTACAGTAATTCTCATAGTCATGTTATTCTGTGCAATGACCCGTATGCTCTGTAGGTCAAAGGTAACCTAGATCAAGTGAACAAGAATGCAGCCCTACAAGAGATGCATTTCAAATAAAGGGATATACTGTAACTATAATAGATCTATGTTGTTATTCAGATTAACAGTGCGGTCACATCTAAAAGAAAAGAAACGTATGCTATCTGTGGTCGCCTATGTCAATGTGTCAATACAGTAGTTTGGTCCTACTTACCATGTAGGTCTGCAGCCACTCGGAGAAATAAAACAGACGCTAGAAAAACGAAAGTTTGCCTCGCACGGAACTTCATGGTGGTCGTTCTTCGTGCTAACTGCGACACACTGCTCGTTTCTGCACGGAGAGGAAGAGTTCAAATGTTTCTTCGAAGCGTCCGCCTTTATAACTTGGACAGAGCTATTGCTGCAGCCAGCAATATTACGTAATTTATGGCTCGAGTCATTATGTGTTACACCACAGCGACAGGTGATCAGGACAAACATTTCCGCCCCATATTGTCTACACACTGATTCAAAGTGTTCACTCATGAAGAGTTTATCTCATCTGTGCTTCTGAAAAACTAAAACATGACATTAGACTAATATTTTGTTTGAACTACACACTACAACTTCTCTAATGAGCCGTACAGACACAGGGGCTCTTGGGAAATGTAGTTACTAAGAGTACCAATACTCACGAGTACCAATAAGTGGTACTTTAGTACCAAAGCTGAGTCCTTGCTGCTGCAGCGACCATGGGTTCAAGTCCGACCTTAGGCCGCTCGCTTTCCCCCATTTCCTGTCATTCTTTAGCTATCTCTATCAGTTAAAAGGCAATCAAAAAGTACCAATGTCCATTGCTTTTGCACCTGACCAGAGAAACCAAGATAACCCCCGGCATAAGTTTGGAAAAATGTTAGAAGGGTGAATGCACACACATATATTCCCTGTGTATCTTATAATGTGGCTGCGTGCAAAGTGATTAGGTGTGTGTGTTTTCAGTATTGATGAATTTGAGTACCGGGTTAAATCCAAGGCACAAAACTTCAACTTGTAAACTTGAGGATACAGCTGAAAAGTGTACTGCCAGAGACGGTTTTACAACCGACCATAACCTAAAAGCTACCTACAAAAAGTCTATTAGGATAAATAGTCTAAAACATTCAGATTGATTGCCTCTCTCCAAGCCTTAATTATCTGAAAGCCAATTTCATGCAGAAATGAAAAATACATACTTTGCTTTAGAGTTGCTTTAATAGTTATAGATGTACAGTATAGTATAGCTCCTATTGGCACATCGGTACATAAAAGTTTGAGAAAAAGGTTTGACTCAAAAACCAAAATTTAAATGTTTTCTCATCTCTAACCGGAATAAATCAATATTGAGTTGACCATATACTTAATCTCAGTTTTAAATAACTAGCCACAACATCGTTGTTGTACAATGGCAATGGAAACTTTTAAAAAATATTCTTGAACATTTACTATTTATTCTTTATGTATAGCTACTTGTGAGTCGAGCAAAGCCATCACGTGACAGCCAATCGCGTTGCCTATCGCTACCAAGAATTGACCAATCAGATGTCGCTCCACTACCAAGAATTGTGAAAACCAATCACCTTTAGTTGCGCCTACCAAGAATTGACCAATCAGATGCAGGGAGAAGATTGCCCTTAAGCCAGCCCCCTTCAGAAATCAACGTCGAGTGCTGAGCACCGAACCTTTTTTCGGATTTACATATTTTGTCAAACTTTTGGTAAGTTCATTGCCCCTTCTGTTGTCTCTAAGTTCTAATGTTATAAGTTTAATCATTTAAAAGATGTGGTTTGCCTACTGTGGTAGCTAGCTGGCATGCCAACAGTCTTATGCACGTAACCTAGCCAAGTCATTTCCAAAACAAATGTCACTAACAATTCTTCATTGTGAACCAGCTTGCTTTTTCTACCCACAGGCCATCACTCTGCCCAACAGTTAACTGCCCTGTACATTAACCCTCGGACTATTAATGAAACCATTCATTACTTATTTTCCATTGCTGAAAAGTCTGTTTCTTTGCATACTCTATATACTGTCATATCCACCTACCCCATGTACGTCAAGACAGCTGCACGTAAAGTATTTATTTCAGCATTCTTTGCACTCTGCACTGTTGTCTACTGTCTACAATGTTTGTTTATAGATATGTATAACTGCACATATACATTTTTTTTTTGTTGAACTTGTTCTGTTTATTAATGCTGTTACTCTTGATGAGTGGGCCTGAGAAGCTTCCTGTGGCTGTGCAGAAAGGACCAACTCTGTATTTTGGTTTGGTCTCACCTTCTCATCCTGCCACCAAACATTGCTGATGAGGTGAAGCTTGATGGCAGACTGCAACCCTCAGGTCATCTCCCAGACTCCACTGCCATGTAAAGCACTTCCTGTCATTCTCTCTTCTATGTTACCCTCTGTGGAGCTTCTGACAGTGCAAGGACCCTCCCAGGTGATGTTCTTCAAACCTTGCACTTCCTTCAGCTATGCCAGCCCTCAACTCAGACGCAGACAGCCAGTCGAGCTGTTCCTTACACCACGAAACAATACAGAAAGAGAGAATAGGAGAAGGAGACGACATATGTGATCCTTTGCCAAGAGTGCAAGAAAGAAAGAGAGAAAACCACCATCACATCTAAGTGAGACTAGGTCATATGGTGAATGGAGGCCTGTGCTGGAGGAACAACGTTACAGGTAGAAAAAAAGTACAAAAGTTATTGTTTTTCTAATTGCAAGTCACAATATGAGAAATGGAGAGCTGACAAACAAAACAGACATTCTTTATTTACATACACAGGTGAGACAAAGAGGTTAAGTGCAGAAGCTTGGGGTCTGTTTTGGTACTATTTTGACACGTGTGTGAGAGTATGATGTGGATGGTAGTGGGGGTTGTATTAGGGTTTGTATCTTTTTTTTGTTGTTTTGTTAATATTGTTATTTATGTTGAACTTTTGTGTTATTGCACTTTTTGCTTTTGCTTTACTGTCTTTAAGTCTGGTGGTCTGTACTTTGATGGTCCTATAGCGCCTGCCAGAGGGCAACATATCAAACAGATGGTGTCCAGGATGAGAAGGGTTTAATTTAGTTATTTATACATTAAATTATTACACTTAATTATTATTACTGTTGTTATTGTTATTATAAATGATTCAGACGTTTCTGTTTTGATTTCTTCTTCATTGTCTTATAATTATAAACAACACAAGGATGATAAATAATAATCCTACTATTTGTCATGTTCTTTGTCATTATCCTTAAGTTTGCCTCTGAAATGTACACAGGACTACTTCATATTTATTTGTTATTTTACTTGCTGCCATACAAATATACATACTCATAACCGAGTTAGGCACGAGTGGGATTCGATACGAGGATCTCAGGGTATGTTTCACGCAATAAACTCAGGCCTCAAGGAACGTCCAAAAGAGTAATGTTTGGGTCTTTACCATGACTGTATATAGTTCTAAAGTGTCACTATTTCGGGCTTGTGCATTTTTAGTTTTTTTGGCTTGAATGGGAATTGGCACACATTTGTACATGTCTTAAGGGTTCATCAATAATCTAATTTTATCGTGGGTTTTAACAGAGGAAAGACGCCAGCTTCATTAGATAGTCTGGGTGGCAGATCTGTATGCTCTCCGACAGTGTATATTAATCACCGCGAGGTGGTAAGATGTAAATGTAGCCGTGTTTTTCCATTTTCAAAAAATAAAAAGTAAAACACAGAACTTGCCCTTTAAATAATTACGTGCCCTCCTTACGCTTTATCTCGGGCCAGTGGCGCAATGGATAACGCGTCTGACTACGGATCAGAAGATTCTAGGTTCGACTCCTGGCTGGCTCGAAATTTTTCTTTTTAAGCGCAAAGGCTATCATTAATTTATTTATTCTCCTTTATCTACGCGGTAGACAGGTAGAAATCGTAGAAATTCGCCCCATTGGTGTTGAGCAGAAGATTACCGGTTCGGTCCCTGGACGGGGCAAACATTGGATCAAGGCATCAGGGGCTGCCAAACAACGTAACGTTAACCTATGAAAGAGACCCCGGAGCTCCTTACTAACTTATTTAAGTCTCACTCTTTATATTTGTTTACAGTGGCTCTTTTTTTATTGTCACTATTTAAAAAAAATATATTTTTATCTTTATTTATACTTTTCTACGCTTGATTGTGATGCTTCTGCAAATTCCTCGTATGTGAAAACTTACATGGGAATACACCTGATTCTGAGAGTGGAGGGTAAATAATGTAGTAGTGACTGTAGAATATTATCGGTTAATATGTACAATATTTGTATTACATATACAGTAACAAAACAATCAACAAAACTGAAAATCTCCACTGCTGACAAGTTAAATATGTGTATAAACACTATAAACAGGATGGTTAAATGATGGCTGGGAGCATAGTGTATGATGCACATCTGTCATTCTTTGTGTTTCAGTTGTCTTCTCAGACTGAAACCTAATAATTCATCTATTCTTAATCCATTAATAAACTACATACATATATCACTCACATGGTGAACAGTACATGCAAACAGCGCACATGCAAAACAAACACAGTATAAAACAATATGAGAACAAATTATTTAGATTTATTCCTGGACAAATATTTTGGATAATATCTTTATTTACCAGTAGACTACCTAAAACACACATTTGTCCTCTCCAGTGGCTTTAATTCAAATGAGCACGACGGCTTAATGTCGAAGCAATCTGAACGACAACTGAATTAAACGCAATTAAAAGCTGCGTCACACACTCACAGTTAAACGTTAACATCTGCGGGTTACGAGTTGTTGTTGTTTTTTTTTGCGTGGCGCTTCTACCGACACCAAACCGAGCCTCGAGCGAGCAACCCCCCCCCTCCCTCCCACCTCCACGAGGAACACACGGAAGGCACGGGGCTGATCTCTCGCGAGGAACGACGCCGTTATCGGAATCTCTACAAACAACACGAGAATTCATCATTCACACGGTAATATAACCCAATCTTACACGGTACATGTGTTGTGTGCCAGCTGGTCGGGCGGGAGAGAGCTAAATCAGACTCATATTTTTATTGTTATTTCTTCCAGCTGTTTACGATCCTTGCCTTACATTCCCCCGGCGGCCTTTAGGCCCCTCACTAGCATGCTAACCACCACGTTAGCGCGCAACCTTGCAAATCCGATTTTGTAGTGGCTGGAAGCTAACGTTAGCGGGCTAGCTGTTGCGTGTCTGTTCAGGCGTTTTCTTCAAAACAAATACAAATAAAATGTGTGTTACATGGTGGATGTGTTCGGTTGTGGTTGTATGAATGCGTAGGTAGATAACGCAATGTTTAATAGTGTGGTTGTTTTGTTATTTTAACATCGTGGAGAGACCCCCGCCCAGTTAGCCCGCTTTTACAGCAGCTAACTGTGTTAGCTAACCATGCTAATGTTAATGTTCATTTTCAGACCAGCAAGACTTTAAACAGCGTTGTCGGATATTATAGTGGCTGTAACAGGCATTTCTTTTTAATCTGAGCTAATTCAATGCTAATATGATGCTAGGTAGTTATAGTTCATGATGACATGGTTTCATGATCAACACCGAATTGGCCATATATGTGTGTATAACATCAACATCTGCCCATTAATGTGAAATTCACTCTATGAATTGACTCTGGAGAAGGCTGGCCCATCATGATGAATACATATCTTCCCTCTCTCACACTCACACACACACACACACACACACACACACATATACATACAGATACACATACCCCTTGTCTGGATGGAGGAGACATGCCCCTGTACCTTTTACAATGCATGCTGTATAAATAGACAATAAATATATTCCTGTTTGACTCAGAGTTTAAGTGATTAATAAGAGTTACAGTGCTTCCTTTCATTTATTCCATAAACCTTGTAGCAGTTTATTGTGAGTACATTATTCCATAAGGTGATTGCCCTTGCATTCATCAGTACTAGTACTCTAAAAGTCAATACTTCTTTACAGTGGGTTATAAACTGTATATTTTCTATTTTTATTAGTCATATATAAGCTCAGATAAATCCATAGTAGACTTAGAATTTACATAATATGTTTGCGACATGCAGAAATTAATAATTACTCTTGTGTTACCCATTTGTGTCCACACAGTTATGTTAACACACAAAATACCAATTTTAATTACATTACATTACAACTCTCTTTAAGTAGTATGGACCTTACGTGGAGAGGTATCCTTATCAAGTGTAGGCCTATTTGAAGGGACAGAAAAACAAAGCCTATCACACACAAACAACCAGTGAAAAGCAGCACACAAAACAAACATACAGCACAAAAATCATTCATTCATCTTAGGTTGTTATGTCTCAGATATGTTGGGAATGTGTTCCTGCCATGATTTGCTAACAAAGAAAAGGACTATGGTACGATGCAGTCACATCTCAGCAGCAGCTTCTGTGTACCATGTCCTCCACAAATTCTGTCAGTATGGAGGGCACAAGACTCCTAAATAGTTGATATGAACGTGATGCTTTCAATTCCACCTATGCTACGTATTAATGTTCAATGTCAGTGTTTTTCCTTCACTTGCCTGGTTTGGCAAATGGGTGAGAAATCTACTTATCAAAAGTCAGTTTTAAGAAGATTTACTTTATTTACGATTACTATTATTCATCATTTCCTTTATTTACTTGCCCCTTTACAAATTGTTTTATTTATTAGTGGTCATTATAAAACAACAAATACTAAAATCATGTTTAATATTTATTTAAGCAAATTAATCGATAACAAGAAATTAGATAAAATACATAGTTGGAGTTTTGCCAACATCTTCCAATGGCACCCACCTAAACTCCTGTGTGTCTGCTGTCCAGGATAATTGAAATGCTCACTTGCACTTCAACTCTGGAAAAACAATGTGTTTAATTCTTTTTTTACTACTAAGACAGTAACGTCAGTAGCATGTCAGTAAAGAAATTATTTGCTGTCTTGTTAAGTTAACCCTTCTTATTATATTCTTTCAGTTGTGAACAATGTCTGAACAAGAGTTGGATGAAATTGTGCAAATAACAGTGGAGGACTTTAACCAGGATGACCGTACAGGTAAGATTCCTGTGAAACAATATGAGATTTGACCCCAGGAAGATTATTTCTTGCTAGATAGACTCTCTCTGTTCTTTTGGGCAGATATGGTTATGTTCCATATTAGGCAAGTGCAGCACTATCAAACAAGGACATGAAATGAGTACAAACAATTTTACTAATTTTCACGCTACTGACGTTTTAATGTTAGTTTACTTTAGGCGTAGAGTGTGTGCTGTGCAACTGTATTATTTGTAATCTGTACAACACTGTATATGGGACGTATTTGGACTCTGTATCAGCAGATTGGAACAGGAACACAGTTTTAATCCTGCCATCCAATAGTGACATCCAACAAGAAGTGTGTCCTGTTGTTTAGATGGTGTCTGTCTTTGATTCATGACAGACATGCTGGACAATCATGAAGATGACGAAGAAAGGCCTCAGAAGAAAAAGAGAAAATTAAGCAGCAGCCAGGAGAGTAACAACAATAACCAAGACATATCTTTTATTAAGGTACCAGCTCTGTTCATCAGACACTGTCCAAAGCTTGTATATTTTATGTACTTATAATAAGTGTATAGTATTGATTTATTTTTTAAAATTTTGGATGAATTACACATAACCGCCTCTTATTGTTTGTGTTTCCAGAACATGTTAGTCTCATTCACTGCATCAATCACCCAGCGACTAGAGGGAATAGAATCAAAGTTACAGGCTCTGGACGCTACATGCAAAGCCCTTGGACGCAAATTGGACATAATGGTTCCCTGTGCGAAGAGTCCTATCCAGGTTCCCATGGTTGCAGGGTCTCCTCAGGGGGCCACTCAAACTTGGAACAAAGTGCGATGGTAAGGTACAAGTGTTAGCCCACGACCACATTGTTAGACTGTGCAACATATACCTACATGTGTCAGTTAACCAATGTTTTCTGAACTTCTCCGTCAGTGTTGTTCCACAAACTAATGTGATAGTGAGCAGTGAAACCCCAAAGGGCCCTAGTCCTGAAGACACCCCTCTGGAGAACCTGCTCAGCAAGTGAGTGGCTCACATTGACACTCACTGTATATGCCTATTGTGGAAGTCAAAAATGTTCAAATCCATCCCAATACAGCGCCTCATACGTGAAAAATGTTGTGGTTGTTATTAGAAAACCGTAATCAAATGTACATCCCCCAGTTTTCAGTCCAGGCAATAAAGAAAGAATCAAAATTCCTCATACAAGGTAGACGCTGACAAGATCCCTGTATGTTATACAGAAATTTGCGTTTGTTTTCAGCACAGTGACCAGGAGGCGGCAGAACACAATCTTGGTGAAGGTGCCGGGCCCAGAGGAGAGTCAGGAAGAGCAAGAGAGTGGCTCAGAGGCCAGTGACTCTGTTTCTAATGGCGGCCATTCCAGCAATGCGCAAAATGGTCAAAATGTTACACTCATCACACTCAATTCAGAAGGTATGACTTCACTCTGCTGACATAGACACAGAAACACATGTGTGTCATTGCTCTTTTCCCCTTGTTATCTCTCACTGGATAGAAATTAACATATGGGCTATAGTGACAATGTTAAAGGCAGGGTCATATTTTTAAGGACCACCTCACAGATTTTAAATCTTTTCCCTCATATATATACTTACTTACTATATATAATATATATGTACTTGTATGTTATACGTACACCGATCAGCAATAGCATTAAGAGCACTGACAGGTGAAGTGAATAACAGTGATTATCTTGTTATCATGGCACCTGTCAGTGGGTGGGATACATTAGGCAGCAAGTGAACATTTTGTCCTCAAAGTTGATGTGTTAGAAGCAGGAAAAATGGACAGCGTGAGGATTTGAGTGACTTTGACAAGGACCAAATTGTGATGGCTAGACAACTAGGTCAGAGCATCTCAGAATCTGCAGCTCTTGTTGGGTGTTCTTGGTCTGCAGTGGTCAGTACCCACACCAATATACTTCTCTGTATTCAATCGGAAGCCAATCACCGTTCTAAGTAGTAGAAAGATCACAGGTTGAACAGCAAGAAAAACGTGTTTTAAGCCATGACATGTCTTTCTCTGTCAGGAAGGTCCCATCTCATTATTAACAAAACAACACTGTGAATGAATAGTGTATGTAACAAGGCGATCTCTGTCAATTCTGCTGTGTTGTAATGGATTTCTTTGGTAGTTATCTTGAATTTTTTTAAGACCACCAAATGGTAAAAATCTTTACAATATGCCTCTCATTTACACGATGTGTGTCTGTCCACATGTCTTTGCCCAAGGACGCTTCAAGATGTAGATGGGAGGATTGAACTGCCACTGATTAGTGGATGACCCACTTTACCTCCTGAGCCACAGCCACCCCCAATAGAACTGCTTTTGATTGTTTTGTTAAAATTTGACTCATTTAACGTGACTAATGGGATTCTTACACATGGTGTCCATATTGAATGGAAAGCTAACTCTGCTGATGTGTCATTTTTCATTTCTCTGTGGTTTTGACTCAGGCTTGGTCAGTCATGTTTTCAGTAGCTTTGCTCATGGTTCTGGCTGAGCCTTAGAGGGAATAGTGCATTTCTAATGAAAGTTCAAACCTAAATTAAGTCCATATTGTTGTAATATTTGCTGTGATTATTGGTTTGGTTATTTTCAGTCGATTTGGGAAGTTCTTGGTTATCTTCAAAGCCAAACTATTATTCATTTATTTACAGCTGTGGGTTACCATGATAAAACTGTGTTAGTCAGCACTAGCTAGATGGTACCATGTGCTGTTTAGTGCAGTGTCTCATGCTTTGTTTGTGTGTTTGTTTGTGTGGTGAACTTAACAGCTAACATACGCTGTGAGCAAACAGCCAAACCACATATGCTGCTTTTCAATACCTTTAATAATAACACAGTGTTACCCATAATTCACACAATTCTCATTCACTGCCACATGGGTGCGCTATTGCATTACATGAAGTGTCTCAGTGGCTATGTACCAGTGTAGTATTTTTCAACCTGTGAATCAATACATGTAGACTTTACAGTGTTGATAGATGTTGCTTTACATCAGTAAAGGAAGGCTAGGTACAATTTGTATACTAGCCCAGATCTCAGTATTCAGGCTACAGGGTTGCTCAACTAGAGCTGTGGAAATGTGTGTGAATAACTGTTCCTTCTTCTGTTTCCTCTAGATGATTACCCAGGCGGCACCTGGTTGGGAGATGAGAACAACCCAGAGATGCGAGTTCGTTGTCCAGTGTCTCCAGCTGACATGCTCCATATCACCACAAACTGCCGCACAGCAGAAAAAATGGCGCTGACGCTGTTGGACTACCTGTTTCATCGGGAGATCCAAGCCATGTCAAACCTCTCTGGCCAGGGCAAACATGGCAAGAAGCAGCTGGACCCGCTCATGATCTATGGCATTCGCTGTGAGTCCTCCTGCGTTGACATCATAATCATCTACTCTTGACAAGTGAAGCAATTTCATGTGATTTTGACAAAGTGGAGGTAGACCTGGTGGTCAACGTTATTCCATTACACGCCAGTTTACAAAAAGGGTGTCTTTTTGTGTACGAGCTGCTGGCACTTACAGATCCACCATATCTTCTTGTCAAGTGTTTCTGAGCTGTTGGAACATGCCAGTTTGATAACTTAATTGGCAAAATGACCCACTTGTGAATGCTAAGGCATTGTCTAGTAACCACTGTTTATCTTACAATTATTACATGATTTCTGCACAGTTTAGATTATGCTAATAAGTCACTCAGCCGGGGTTTAAGTCCTTGCCCCCTTACATCAATAAATGAACTCTCTGAGACCTTCCCACATTTCATCCCGGTTCCATTACAAAGCGGCACCGAATTGAACACAGAAATAGACTGCCGTCTGTATTCCCAAGGCGGGTTACAACAACATGCATTCATCATTGCACACACGCATAAATGTGCAACACATTTTATAACATACCAGACTCTAAATGACAAGCATATGTCTGGTAGAAAGATCCTAATGGAGTCACTCTAAATTCAGTGAACTCTTTGATTCCTGATTAAGCAGGCCTATGATGGTAGGCAGACAGATATTTATGAAAGTGGCTGTATACTATATTAATATTGTTTATGTTGCAGTGAAAAGAGGGGCTCTGTTAGCTGTAGCCTTTCTTTTAGAGGGCAGTGTGTGCCCCCTGCAGGCGGTTTTAGCAAACATCCCCCATGGCATACGTAAGTGTTTGTACTTGGTTACCTGTATTTCCTCTCAGCAGTGTGGGTGTGTGTAATTACTTGCAGATTTAGCCTGACACAGAGGTATGTAGAGGCTGGAGCAGGGCCAGGTGACTTTTGGGTGACTCATTCTGCCTGCCAAAAAAAAAAAAAAAAAAAAGAAGAAAAAGGAATGAAGGAGCAACTGCCCTGCCTGCCTGTACAGGACTCATCAGGTGTGGATGGGCTGCCGTACGCTGCCACCCCGCTATGCCCAGATACCCTTCAGCTTTCCCTCTGTCTCATTTTCTACCCTCAGGTTGTAGCTGCGCTGTTGTTAATTTTTGTAGAAATGAGCTGTCAAGTCGCTCACACCCTTGAGTTCAGTTCATAACACTGAGGTAGACAGCCACTAAGCACAGCTGTATCCACTCTCACCTGCACATATCCCCACTGAGGGAGGGATAAAGCACCGTCACAGGCCTGTGTTGGCACTTCTTGTCAAAGGGTGTGGAGAGGAAATAAACAGATTCAGGACAGTTGTTGTCCAAGTTTTGTGTACATTGTTTGCAGACGAATCGCCCTATTAAAAACACCTTGTCCTATAGCCAGTCTGACAGCTTAATTATGTCTTGCCTATTGTATTCCAGTGCAGGATTCTGTTGGTATTAAATCTCCTCCATTTTAGGATCCTTTACTGCAAAGACTGTATGTAGGCTATAGGACTGTATGCTGACATTGACATGTGGTATTATTTAAGATTAAGTGTACCAGTGAGCTTACTACACATTTCTATGCCAAGACACAGACTTCAAAATTAATTGTAAAATAATATTTAATCTATAAAATGTGCTGCTGACATTGTCAGTCTGTGATATTCGTGCTAGGGAAATAGCCTAACTACTATGTCTTGTATTGATGCCGATGTTACATTCAAGTTTAGGTTATGACAGGTGAAAATATTTAATCTACACAGCACTTGCTTGTTACCTTCACTATAGCTCAAAGCAGACTATTTGGTTTCCTCAACTATTCAAACAGAAAGGATGGGGCAAATTAATGAAAAGGGCATATAAACACACAGAACATTTGGATAGTATTCATTCATTTTTTCGTGATTTATTCATTACAAAGCGTGTGTGTGTGTGTGTGTGTGTGTGTGTGTGTGTGTGTGTGTGTGTGCGCAGAATGTGATGATCTTTGACTTCTTTTGTCCCCACAGGCCACTTGTTCCACAAATTTGGCATCACTGAATCAGACTGGTACCGCATCAAGCAAAGTATTGACTCCAAGTGTCGCACTGCCTGGAGACGCAAGCAGCGTGGCCAGAGTTTGGCTGTCAAGAGCTTCTCCAAACGCACACCTCGCAGTACAGGCTCAGGTAAAGTACAGATTATTAGTTTGTCTGTGCAGCATAAAACAGAACAGTCCAAATATTCTGCAAATCTGAGCAATTGGGGGAAAATGATTCCAGAGGGGTGGTGATAAAACAGCAAAGGCATAGTCACCTTTTACTGGGCAATGGATTAAAGGCCATGATATAAGAAGTGGAACGAGGAACGACAAGGTCAGAAATGTAACTGGGGGAATGCAGTGCCGTATGTAATCAGCATGATCTTGTAGTTGATTCAGAATTTTACAGGAAACTGTTGCGGGGGTGCAGGAACAGGGGTAATGTGAGACTGATGGCTGGTTCAAGTTAACAACCTGGCAGCTGCTTTTTGTATTTAAGAGCTCAAAGTACCTTGGAACCTTCTGACACCTTTCTTGTGAAATGCTTTGGGAGTGAGCTCATAAACATTTATCTCTATGGTCTGACAAAATAATTAACTACCTGGCTACACTGTCGTAAGTCTTTATCAACTGATAAGGTTGCTACGTTTCTGCAGTTGTTTTCTAATTAAACAAGCTGCACAGTTTTGAGACTTGAGGTATCCTCTGTTTCTTCTTCTTGCAGGGCACTGGTTTGGCTTGTCATTATGGAACTCATTAACTTTGTGCTGTCAGCAAAAACAATCATATTTTTCCAGTGAATTTCAACTAGTTCTCAAACAGTTTAAAAAGAACAGATGGAAGTGTTCTTTCTGCAAACAGTTAAGCTGTGTCGGCCTCTTAACTTTAGGGTTGTAACCGACTCATAATTTTGTCAGTTGAATTGGATTCGGCTGTTCAATACAAAGATTTGACTATTCGTTACAGCTACATGAGTCTCGTGTTTTACACCAGACACCAGATTTACACACAGTCAGAGAAATTAAAAGTGTGTGCCCCCCAACAGCACTGTTAGCCAAACAGTCACAGTGGACGGCAGTAGAGGAGGTTGCACCACCGTCAGGTTCGAAAGTGGTTTTGCAGTCTTTACTGATCATCACTGGAGCAGAGAGTGTCAGAGCAGCTGCTGACCTTGCTGTCACATTGCCTTCCGTTAACTATCACTCATCTCTGCTTACATCACAGTTACCTTTGTGGTTTTTGGTCATTTTTTAAGGCTCTGTTTGTGCTGTCGTTCTATGTTGCTAAAAAACAAAAATGCAGTCATTCGACTGACAAATGCTTCCTTAATCCTTATTCTACTGCTTTATTGGAGAAAATGGACTGTATGCAATCAGTCACACGCAGTGAACCTCAGACTGCTCTTACTTCATCAGTTATATGAAAGCTATTTTAAGACCTGAACCCAAATGCAGATACAGTGTGTATTGCTGCAGATGGTTGTAATCTGCACACAATGCCTGCTGTCCTTCCCTCCCTGTGAGCCATCACCTCTCACCTCTGACCAGGGAAAAGTAAGACTGCAGGGGAAACCCAAATATCCTGTGAGCACACACTAGGGGTGGGTTGTCAGGCCCTGCCTTTTCAGACCACACACACCCAAGAGTGTACAACACAAATACGAGTTCAGATGGTCTATGAACAAACTTGCAAAGTCAAACTTCCAAAAACAGTCATTCCTTCCTTAATCAGCTTACATATTATTGGACAGGAAAGAGGCAGTTCTTCTGCTTTTTAAACCATTATTTATCAGTGAACCAGCAAGTAGAGCTCAGACTGAAACTGTTAAAGTTCACAAGCCACCTGGCTCTTGATTCCTCATCTGACAAACAAAAGTGCTGAGGATTATTTCCATAATATCAGCAATAATGAAAGATGGGAGACAGCCTTACTTTTCAAAGCAATATAACATAAACACAACTTTTGAGGTGGATGTGATATGTGCTGTATCTTTTATGTCATTTAAAGCTACATTTCCTGTTTGTTTTTTATTTCATGCTCAAAAATGCAAGGTATTGTTGTATTTAGACTGAGGCCATGGGTTTGTGTTTGTCTGCTGACCATGAGTGTGTTTGGATGGAGAGTCCTTGTTGTGTATTTAGGCGTTTAATAAAGTATAAACACGCCATCATCCAGCAGATGGCCTGGGAATTAGCCAGGTTTTTTTTTTTTTTTTTCACAAAAGGTTGCTAAGGCCCCTTGCATTAACACGTGTGTGACTGTGTCTAATTTTTTTATTTTTTTATATGTGCTAGAATCATTTGCACTGTATTCCTGACCTACTTTCACTGTATACATAAGTGCACCAATGACCATATTCCTTGTCCTTCTAACCAGAGGGAGGCCTCGCAGAAGAAGCATCCCACATTGAGAGTGCCACCCAGCAGACCTTGCACTACACACTGGCCAATCAACAGGTCCAGTTCCACCGGATTGGCGAGGATGGACAAGTTCAGGTGGTGAGTGTCAGACATTTTCATCCTTCAATCTTTCTCCGAAAAGCAAACATTTTTATTTATAGGCATAAAGTATTATCTAACAGTAACAGTCTGAGTCTTTATCATCGTTCCTCGCAGTATTTATCAGATGTGTCTTACAATTAGCTATTTCTGTCTGATTTATTTATTTAATTATTTTTCTGACTGTCATATAAGGGAGGATTAGTAGTGCGGTGGGACCGATCACGCCACCCACCACAGTGACTGCATTTTGTAGAAATACACTGCAGTTTATGTCAATGAAGGAGTTGTTCCGGGATTGGATGAACTTTTACAGCTGCTAGGATCAAAGGTCATAGTCAGGTCAACTACAGTGTGGGCTGACAAAGAGAAAGTGAATGAACGTTTCCTCTCTTGTCTTCCCTGTGCTCTAAAATACAATAACCTAAAATACCAACTCTTAAGGAACAAGTGAGAAACCACTTGATTAAACACTATGGCCTGTTTAGCGCAAGCCAGTGTGACCAAAAATGTGTATTTTTAAGTTTCTGGTGGTTTTACGGTATATCTAGTTTTGTTTTTGTTTGTTTGGTTTTTCATGACTGGGCCTTTTTTATAGAGATTCATAGTGGCTTATTCTACTGTCAGGAGTACGTAGAATTTAAAGACATTTTATTGTCTTTATGGCTTTGATTACTATAGGGTTTTTTCTTGGCCCCACAAAATGACACAATATACTATATATCACTATATCCTGCCAGTAGTACGTGAGACTGACAATCTGTGAAAAAATCAGGTTCATCTGGCTCCAGTGCTCCTATTGGGATTTGCAAGAATTGACCGCGCCTGAATGAAAATAACCAATCAGAGCAAGACAGTTTATTTTGGAGTCTCATTCCCAGAACTCAAGTGTCTTAAAGCCACCAACCCAAAGTCTTTCTATCTTTCTCAGCTCTGATTGGTTTTCGTTCAGGCTGTACTACTGTCAAGATATAGTTTCAGAAAATATGATAAAAAGTTATTTTCATTAACGTTATCTGCTGCAGTATTCTATTGCACAAGAAACCGATAGCAGTATAGCAGTTGTTTCAGCTATGCACTTAGATGGTAGTATATATTAAAAAAATAAATCATATCATGTAGGTGAAAAATTAAATTTTTTGTCCACTGGCCAAATGCTAGTGAATGTTCATGTTTTACCAGTCATTCAATAGATTGTTTTTTTGGCTTGTTAGTGAAGCAAATCTACCAGCCACTAGCATTCCTTTCACCAGCATTTGGCTGGTGCTAATTTTGTGCCCTGCATGCAGTAAATTAAAACTGCTATATTGCCCAACACAAGGGGTGTTGAAGGTCTTATCAGAGTTTTGGAGTTATACTGTGTCTGTGGAATTGATCAGATTAATAAAGTGTTAGGTTTTAGTTCAAGGTTTGTCATTGAGGTTACATTCATTAATTGAATTAGAGCAGACTGGCTCAGCCTTGTTTACTCATTTGTGTAGTGAAACAGCCAGTGACAGATAAACACAAGCTGTGAGCTGTGTCTGTCATGAGGGTTTTTTATGAGGAAATAAATTAGATTATCGTAGAAGCTTTCCTAGTACATGTATGTGAGATGCAAAGTCTGTTACCAAACAAAAATATGATTGTAATCATAACACATAATCTGATTATACAAAGTAAACATAAGAGAAGTCATTTTAATTTCTCTGTGACGCTCTACCTTTACTCATTGGTCCACTGTATGTAATAACAATGCAACAAAGCGACCTCATAATTCACAGCATTGAGTATTTCTGCTGTTAATAGGTTGCTGTGTGATGCATGGGTTTGGAGCTACTGATGATAGGTGACCTGCCTGAAAGAGGAAGGAACAGGCATAAAAGATAGAGGGCGGACAGGCAGGAAGAGAAGTTAGGAAGAAGGTGGAAGAGTGGGAGCGAATGATTGTCAGGAGCTCACTGTGCAGTTATTTCCCTCCCGACGCTGCAGAGTATTAAAGGGTGCAGCTGAGCCTGAAATTTATGAGTGCTGCTAATACAGCTGAGGAAATAAAGTGTGCTGTGATTCAGGGTGCAACCGTTGTCTGATAATTACTAAACTAAAAACAAAACAAGAACCTTTGTTTACATGTAGCACACTACGGCTACTTGTTGCATTAGTTTTTATCACATTCTGTACATTTCAGCTAATTTGGTTCCCCATCACTTACAGTAGAAGTGCATTAGCCAGGAATTTCTGAATAGCCATTATAAATAATTTATCTGGGTGCCTGACTGGTTTTAAGACAGACTTTAATTTTTTTAAAGCTATCCTTTTTACAAAATTTGTAATTGTATGATAATTGTATGTAGATGTCATTATTGTTGAACCGGTAACATGCCTTTGCAGATTTCTTGGTTTATTGATCATGTTTGTGTAATTGTTCCAGCTTCAGCTCTCTCTCATCCTTTATCTCTCTGTCTCAGATTCCACAGGGTCAGTTACACATTGCCCAGGTACCACAAGGAGAGGAGGTGCAAATCACCCAGGACAGCGAGGCAAGTGTGTGTGTGAATGTGTGAGAATGAGAGAGAGAGAGAGAGAAAAGACTAAACATCAACCACTCCTTTTCTTGAGTCATTCTTCCTGGTAAATTAAATAAAATATCTTTGCAAACACGTCAGTCAGGAGAATTAGTCTCCAAACAGAATATAGCTGTTACTGTGAAGTCATGCTTGAGAAAGAAGTGGTTTGTTGGGAAGAAAAATAATGTTGTCTACTGTAATGTGGGAATGTCAGTATGTTATGTTGGAAGTCTGGTTTGGAATTTAGTTGACTTCTGGCTAGCTGATGCCTTTTTATTATTTCACTGGCTATTTGAAATAATCCATTATATTTGTGTGAATGTGTAGATTTAGTAAATGCTCTTGAGGGCCCTCTGACATAAGGCGATTTTTTTACACCATTACAAGTTTCTTATACATTATTTAGGTCAATAATCAGAACTGCTGTCCAGCGCATTAGTCTACCATGCTATAGTATTCTTTGATGAGGCTCACACAGTGTTTCTTCAGAAAAGTAGAGTTGATCCCCTAAAGCTGTGTTGGAGGCTATAAGGTAGTCTACTTTAACGTGCACGATTAAAGTATTTTCAAAATTCGCAATATGGCTAAGTGCAACTTGCAAATCGCAGTAGCAATATGTAAATCGCAAGAGCTGCAATGTTTTGATAAAGGTAAAATGAGTGACAGAACAGCATTCAACAGAACTTCGACTTTTATGGCACCGACCAAATTGCCCCAATACTATAGAGTATGAAAGTCTTCAGGCTATTAATGTTACACATTGTAGGCATGCATGAGAAAACACTCTGTTTACACACAGAGACAGGTTTTTTTTTTTTTTTTTTACTGCAAGCTGCTTATATAGACAGACAAGTAGTGAACTTCGTGCTGCTCGTTAGCTAGCCAGTGCAGCTAATCTGTATCTGCTCATCGGTGAGTCTGTTCACTTCATCGTCTGTCGGGATGGAAACCGCGGTGCATCCTCTCCTCGCCTTAGCGGTGACAAAGTTTCAGACAGCATGGTGCTGTTTAGATACTGACAGGTAAAAGGAGAGAAACACATCGAAGACCTGGGGTAGCTGGTTTTTAGCATGGAGACAACAAGGGGTCTCACTCTGCCACTATTTCCCAGTACCATAAATGTCCCCCACACAGTTTTCCCTTCTTCTTCTTTGGGTTAGACTAGAAATACTGCTGTATTGTCTAATACAGATATTCAGTTTTATTTCATAATTTTAGTCCAGTTTCTCCAGCTGCTCCCAGGTCTTTGAACAGCTTCCACTTCTGAAGTGAGTAATTGTAACCTACTCACTTTGAAGTGAGTAATTGTACCATAATGGATAATGTTAAAATGAATTTTAGAAAACTGGTATTGAAAAAAGTATCATTCAGCAGCCAGTATCAGAGTCAAAGTGTCAGTTTATGTACTGGTATCAAACATTTTCGAATGGTACCCAGCCCTATTGCAGTGCCCCCTCCTCCTCTACCACAGTGACAACTCTCTCCATCCATGAGAAGTGTGTTTAAGAGGCAGAACCCCCCCAAAGCAGCCGGACCAGACTCTTGTCTCTCCGTCCACCCTGAAGCACTGTGCTGGTCGGCTGTCAACACCTCATTGGAGATATGCCATGAGTCAGCCTGCTATAAAACCTCCACCATAATCCCTCTCACCAATATACCAAGACCTTGTATTCCTTGAATGTGAGAACTTTTACATAAAAGAACAATCAGATTAATAGAGCAAAGTCTTTTTCATCTGTCAAATAAGTTGGGTAAGAAGAAAACATTAATGTGCCCTTTTGAGCTTTTGTATGTTTCTGTTTGCAAACAGCCATCCGAGTGAAGCATAATGCAACCGAGTAATACCTGACAACATTTAAGTCATTAGTGAAAGAAAAAAACAGATGTTCCATGTAGAGCATCTGAATGTTTATATATCCCATGTGGTTATGACTTTTATTTCCACATAATGCCCAGATGTCTCATGTCCCATGCAATACATGCACTCTGCATGCACACACAATGTTAGCCTGCCAGTGGAAATCAAAATCTAACTATAAACCACACGGACTGCTGAAGAGGAATTTCCACATCAGCATCATTGTTAGTGATGTTTTTTTTTTTTTGAGGATGTGGGAGAGAGATTTATTTCAAGGCGCCAGTCTGTGTACACACATACATATGTAATCACATACTGTGATACGTGCCACACATGCATGACATTTATGCAAAAGAAATTGACACCTTGACCAAGTGTTTTTCTCATTTCCTATTCAGTGTTGCTAAAGGACACTGAGAAGAAGAAATGCACGATTGAGTGAGAGAGACAGAGTGAATTGGAGGCAGAAAAGCTCTAAAGCCTTTCCTGCTCTTTGTGGCGGAGCCCAGATTTTCTTCTCCTCTCTCCTTTCTATTCCATGATATTGTTTGTTTTTTGGAGTTCAAAGCTTAGCAACAAAATCCCACTTCTCCCAACTGCCACTCACAGAATATGTTTTCATTAGGAACGGGCCCCTTTCATCAAAGACATTGGTTTTAGTGTGCTTGAAAAGGAAATGAGCTGTTTGAGAGATTACACTGCTTTCTGACCATATGGCAGCTCAGGCAGCGCTTGATACATACATGAAATACAATTAGCAACAGAAAACAGAAATTTGGGGTTTGCTAAATATGCTTTATATGATGTCCTCTCTCATGTGGTCTTGTTAACATCACTGTGGGTGTTCAGAAACTTTATGATGGTCATTGCATCTTGAAGAGACAGTGATGGGCTTGTGTCTGTGCAAATGGGAATCTGTTTTTGTTTACAGGAACATCAATGCAGCCAGAAATGACAGAATAGTTGACGTATATACAGACATTGCATCCACGTCTCACTCTTATTTCATTTTAAACACTCTGCCAAACTGTGCATGCACAGTTCTGACACTTCTGAGATATTGATACTGTAATGCTGCATGACATGTTGATCACTAGAGTTCAGTTTAGCACTGTTTAATGGCTGGATCACCTTGTGATAAAGCAGGACTGTTGTCCGCCTGTTAAGCCTAATAGAAAGGAAAACAAATTAGCAAAATGTATATTTTTATGGCTTTATGTTTCCTAGTTAAAATAGCTAAATGATTGTGTGAATATAATCTGGCATCAAGCTGTTGACATGACATGTCACTTCTCTATTTCAGGGCAATCTCCAGATCCACCAGGTACATGTCGGTCAGGACGGACAGGTAAGAAGAACACACATCACAGTAAACTACATAGGAGTTGAAATAAAACTAATTAATCCAAGCTGTAGATGATTAACCACAAATTCACATCACTTCAGTACAAATCCTTCAAGAACCGTAACAGTAATGCTAGATATGTGTGGTTTTGTGTTAAAAATAATGGCCGCCAGCTTTATAAAGTAGTCATCGTCATCTTCCACAAATGATTTATATGTCTGATGATGTTAAATCCTAAGGGCTGTCTGAGGTTGGCTCCCTGTTCTGATCCTGCAAATATAAAGAGACGCGGACAGGCATAACCCTGTCCCTACCACAAGTCTCTGTCAGTATTTATGTACCTTAATTCAGCAGCAGATGCACAAAATCACTGACTAGTCCAATTAGAATGAGAGGGCTATTATTTCAATCCAAATGTAAGATATCTGACAGTGCCAGGATTCGAATGATCTCCTTGCCTCTCTTCGTGCATTATAGGCTTAAGTGACGTTCTGAAAGAAATGTGTGCATTCGTTTTTTGCTGGATCTATTCACGCAGTGGTTGTGCAACTCTTTACCATTTTGTCGGTTTTTACAATGTTTTTTTTTTCCCAAGTGACTGCACCAGGTGTATACTGAACGTTTGCTCTTTTGCCATTCTGTGTAGCGAACCATGGTTACTTCTGTGTACGATGATGTCACATTCATACCCTCTGTTGCACAGTTGCTGTTTGTGTGGCAACCCTGATCTGGGTGTGTTAGGAATACTTTTTACTGAATATTTCATATAGTTTTACCAATGCAGTGTTCATGTCGGCCGCATTCACCTGCCAAACAAACATTAGACCTGTGTCCATCTTCCCCTTTATTGTGAGGATCTCTAGATAGAACTTGTAGCAAGAGACAGAAGTACTGATGAAACAAATCAAGCCATTCATTAGTTTTATAAGCTCACTGTTTAGTGAGGCAGAAAACATACTTTTGGTAGAATTAGGTATCTGTCGAGTTTTCAAACAAAAGTTATCTTTACATGCAGTGTTACCAAAAAGCTTAAAACCTTAAAAAGCTGATTTTAAAACGATTTTAGATTTACATCTGTGTTTACTAGCTAGCAGTCTTCTTCACTCCCTTTGCTGGTGCTTTGCTGCATATCCTGGTGTGTTGCCACTACCTGTAAATCAGTGTCATAGTTTAAAACAAGATAAAAGAGGGACTCGCTCATAAAAAAAAGAGGTCCATACAGGGCTAAAACTCCACAGGGCAGTTTTTTCTGCTGTTAGTTATAAAAATGTAATATAAATATAATTGAAGGAACAGGTATCACGTATTTACTAAATTGATGAAGTGAAAATGTGCATCTCGACAAAAGCAGATTAACACAATCGACCTTACAGTTTGATACAATAATGATATGCTAATTAGAAACATACACCCACACAGCCCTAGCAACACACACGCACAGATGTTTTGTGTCCTCCTGGTGTGTTTTTTTTTTTTTTTCTGTCCATCTCCCCTCCTCCATCTCTGTCTTGGATGATTTGGACCATGGGCCCTTCCTGTTTCTCTGTTCTTTCCTCTGAGATCCAAGTGAGTCTCGATCAAAGCAGAGCCGGCCTGTGTATGACCATTGCAGGCCACATATGGACGCCCGAAGACCAACATATAATTTCACATTCATGATTTCATCATGTTTGTCTAGAAGTAAGGCTTTAGGGAAGGAAGTTCTTTCTCACGCTGCCCTTCTGGTGGTTAAACTGTTTTGTGTTATTTTGTTAGGACAGGTGTTTTTATGTAACAGCCAACAGAGGGTTTTTATCTCCTAAAATGTGAATAAATTCACTTCTGGGGTCATTAGTTAAAAATTACACATCATTATTTACCGGTACTTGTTTTTTTAAGGTAATGAATACCATATGCCACCCTAAGAAAAGTAGTGACACTATTCATTCATTACTTGACTTTTGTATTACGCCCTAAAACAATTCTGGTACTTGCATTATCTGGGTCACTATGGGTCACTGTGTTCAAAGAGGCTAAACACTGCGTGAAAAGCACCCCCTTGTCATTCGTTCAGGTCGTTTTATGCTGCATCTGGTGCCATGTGGGCCCCGTGTTGGCTTAGGGGCTTTGCCAACACAAAGAGCTCTGGAGGAGAAAAAAACTACGGTTGTCCACAAAAAAGTTGAACGTGGCTCAAGTTTTGCTTCAACGCAATCCAATGTCACCAGCAGGCAAAGCATGGCGTTGGCCAGTCAAATACGTGCAAGGGCACATTCCTGGTAGATTACTTTGTAACATGAACGGTGTCATTCTACTGTTTACCCTGTGATTGTCGGAACAGAGCATAAAATTATACCTCTGCAGGCTTGTTAAATTCTTCCTTACAGTATTATAAACCACTGTGGTATGTTTTGGCATCTTCCTAACTTCCTAACTCATGGAACTATTACTCAAACCAGCCTTATTGGATCATATTTCATCATCTCACCCGTACCTTAAGCAACGCCCCCACCAACGCAGCCCCAGGTTTGTGGTAAAAAATAGTCCAAAATAGAGCCTACAGTCTTAAATTCATACTTTGAGTTGTATTTGCCACTTTGTTGGCTCAGTCATATGCACTCTGCTCATAATTCAGAAATGTGGCTTAAATGGAAGGCAGAATAAGTTGAAGGGGATTTTTCCATTGATATTGTGCCAATAAAGAGACTTAAGAGGCTTAAGAATGTAATGCAAGTAACAATCTATTTGTTCACTCAGTAAGGTAATGTACTTTAAAGTAAAGTACTTTATTCCAGTGCAGTAAGTAGTAATGTGATTACTATCATATTACTTTCTGAGGAATTACTGGACCTCCGATGCAGCAGTTAAAAGGCAATCATCACCCTTTCTATTTAATATGTCAAAATTGGGAAGAACAAAGAGTTACGAGTCACCAACCGTCTGGAACCACGTACTTTCGGCTGCTCAGTTCTCCATTTTATAGTCCTAAGAAGATCTCAATCATCCAATTCACTCATAGGATCAAGGCGCCATTGGCTATCTGTGTGCACGCACATCTATGGTGTGTAAATGCATCTGCTTTATATGGGTTTTTTTTTTGTTGTTTGTATTGTTTTATTGGCTGTTTGGCTCTTTATTTGTTTTCAATTGATTGAGGTAGTCACCACACATCCTCACACTCCTTCTCTCACACACTCATAAACACACATTCATGCTTGTGTCCTCAAATGACCTACTCGCTGAGCCTGACAGCAGCATTCCTTTCGGTCTCTCTAGGATCTTGGAACACTTTTTGGCAGAGTTTGGTTTAGATTTTGCACCACAACACACATTTCCAGCACTTATTCATGTCAGTTCACGGTGTACATGAACTGTTTTTGCCGGTTTCCATTAGTTTTATCTAATTTGCGGTTCTATAGTGTATATGCTGCACACAACATGCACTAAGAAAAGCACTATTTGCAACTGGAGTGTGGGATAGGCATTAGTTCCTTGCAGATAGACACTGAAGCGTCAACAAAAAAGAGAACAAAACACTGCATAAAGGCTTCTATTCCCTTGGCAGTGTCTGGGAGCCTAGTCCAATAAAAAGCTTTTTATTTTCCCTTTCTTTTTAGCTTGTGCTTTGATTGGGTCTGTAAAATGATATGAGTGCAGTGCCAAAAAAAACACACAGTGACTTATTCTTTAAACCTCTTGTTGCAGGTCGAGCTTTTCACACACATGCCGTGGTACACTACAGTGGCAGCCTCTCTTCACTTGTATATTCTCATATTTTCAGCTCTTAGGTCAGCTCTTAAATCTGACAAATCCCAGAAAGAACATTCAAGACAATCAAGGGGAACAAGGGTCCAAACAAATATGATGGTGGAGCTAGCACTTATTCAAGCAGATAAATCACATTGACCAGATATGGTTGCATACAAATGACATATTAGGTCTCTATCATGATTGGTGTAATGTATCTTGGACCAGAATTTGTTAAGAATGTCAGTCAAAGATAATATAGATCAGACTTAATCCTGCTTTCTTAAATGTCTTAATTTGTGTGTTTACAGAGAGGTCTACATCAAACAGGCTGTGTATGATGTCACTGTTTTTGTAATCTGGCAGAATAGTGCTGAGGCTGTGTTAGTGTAACCCAGCATACGCAATTCATCACACAAGAGCTCTCTGTCTTATTTCTTTTTCTTCTGGGGCAGTTTCACTCTCGTTCCCATCTCACGATCTCTTCTTTTCATCTTCCCTGTGCTATTTAGCTGTGGCTATACCTGTCTTTTAGAGGCTCGCCTGCCGCATCCTATCACTCCACGTCACATTAAGTGTCAGAGTTCTATCCACTCTAAGATCCATTACGACTCCATCAGGGTCTTGAATTTGTGAATGTTTTCCATGGTGGTTAATATCTGCAGTATTTATCCCATTGAAATTCATTATCAAAATCAATTCTCTGAGGTGGCCTGGCGGTGGCTCACATCTCAGTTATGTGCAGAGACTACTGAACAATGTATCGGGCAGCCCATATTATGGGCCTGTATTGGCCTATCACAGACATCAGTATTGTATCGGTGTATATGTTATTTAATGCACTACTATGAGGGAAAAAAAACAAATTTCCCCAATATATAATGCAGAAAAAATTATTGTAATATATTAGTGTCACATTTATCTAGCAGAGGTAAATGTGACTTACAATAGTTTGGCAAGCAGCACAGAGTAAGCGAGAAGTAGCTCTCAGCAATGGCAGCTACAATTGGTTTACAATGTTTGTATTAACATGTTAAAGAATATGTAACTGTAACCTTTGCAAAGTCATAACCGTGCAAAATCGGTGCACAATCCAAATAGAAAAGGTCTATTTTCATTTTAGCTCATAGATTACCCTTATGGTGGCCAATATAGTGAATTTATGACCCTTTCCCCTCTAAAATTGGTATCGGTCTCAAAAATCCCATGTGCCTCGAGCTGTAAGCTGGGTCTGGCCACAATTTGAATGCAAGAAGCGTCACTCATTTACTGGACAA